TTTGAGAACAAATCACATGTCAGTATGGCCGTGACAGATTATTTGAATTATTTTGTATATATATATAATTAAACGTAGTATAAATCATTGTTTTTGTGATGTATAACTGCGGGTAGTTTACAAAATGTTGAAAAGTAATGTTCGTGTTATTCGATGACGTCAGGCTAACACCTGGTCGGTTGTTTGTGAGTTGTATAAAAGGGGGGTGCGCTGTAAAGCGGGGAGCAGTGGCTCTGGAGCGATCGCACGGTAAACGCTGGTGGAACGTTGTTGGAACGTTGTTGGAACGTTAGAGGTTTCAGAATATGTTTAAAATCGTATATCTGTATTAATACCTATAATGCGAACATTGGTTGAACATTGGATGGTTCAGGTATGATGTACATTATTATATTGTAATAAATAGGTTGTGATATATTATGTACTTTTTTTATTATATTGAATTGGCATCAATATATGTCAATTAAGTATCGTAACCTTGTGTAATATATAGATAAATATCTTCAAATCAATATATAAATGGGGTACCATTATTTGTTAGATTCCTAGACGTTTTTATACAATAAATGTGTTGCCGGTATTATGGGGAATACGTTGCTGAAATGTAACATCTTGTTTAACGAAATAGAATAGTTTTTGACAGTATATCTTCTTGTTATTTACATGTTATCCTTAAAATCTCATATAAACCAGTGTCTTTAATCTTATATTAGGTCACTTTATAAAAAAATCTAACAAGTGCGTCTCCATTTTACGTTACAAAAGAATACGTATTATATTATACCTCACACTTGTATACATACTTACTTTATATTTTAAATCACCTATGTACAGAAAGCGATCGATTACATTTTTATTATATTATATAGATAGACATATTACATTTAAACTGATTGCAACAAATTTATTTAAAATAAAAAACGGCTAAAAATAGGTATATACCGTCCCGGACATTTTTTAGATCATTTAAAGAAGAATCAACCTTTTATACATATTTTTACTATAAAGGTAACTTATTTTAATCTATTAAGAATTCTAATCTTATTCTTATCTTAATCGTGTGTACATTTGGTTTGCTCTACATTTAAATAATTATATGAGCAGTATGTTTTTTAATTTAAAATCGCCATCAAGCTAATTTACTTTCTATCATACTATGTAAAGAGTCTCAGACGCAAATGTACCGCATCGTCTATAACTCACCTGCTCGCACTAGGAACATTCGCGTAATAAGTTTGAAACGGGAACAAAGGCGCGAGCGTGTAAGCGCGCCCTCCGCCCGGGTGACCTAAAACTGCAGGCTGCAGGTGCCAGCTTTGTGTCGATTATGGAGCGGTCCAAGTTGCGAGTTCTTACGTCTTGTTATGAGCTGTGCGTGGTTTTTATTTGCCATGTAAAAGACGGATGGACAGAGATTTTTTTTATGAAATAACAGGACAGACTAGTGTTCACTAGCTGGTAGGTGAAATACTAACATATATAATAATAGATAATATGACATCTAAACTAGAAGCGCCGTCAACCTATTTTGGCTTCGGATATTCGGAAATGCACACACTGAAACCCAAACGCGATTAAACTTCACGGTTTTTCCAGATTTCCAGACAAAGTTCACGATGTTTATTGAACCAACATGTTGATTAGAAAAATCCACAATCCGTTGATTATTATCCTAATATAACTATCCTATCTAGATATCGTGCTCGTGATCGTATCTTGGAAACGTATTAGTTTTAAAATCTTATTATGGCCAGAAAAATGTTTGTCAATGCAGTTGGAGTACTGAAATTTTATATTTAAATTAAATTAAATTTTACATTATAAAAAAATATTTTGATATAAAAAAAATGCCGACTCGACTGGGACTGGGACCAACTTTAACTGCTGTCTTAATACTCTTACTTGGGTGACATAATTATTTATAATAAAAAAAAAATATTAAAATAACCGCTATCCGAATTTTCTTGGTCCCTCTGAGCAAACAAAACTTTAACTACCTAGTGTTTGCATTCGTTAATTGTTAGAGCTGATGGCCGTGGAATCTACTATATTTTATGAAAATATACCCTGATGAAACTCAAACCGATTTTGTTTTCGGCAAATTAAGGCCCTTTATTTGCTGTTACAATTATTTTGGTCGCAATATACTTATGTTTGTTTGAATTCAAAACCAATTATCGAAATGAATAATCCTATTTCCGAGTCTTGACAATTTTGTTATCGAATACATCGAACGGCAATCAACTAAGTAATTTTGCTATTCATTAGCGCTTGAAATCAATTTTCAAATATTATTCCAGTGTAAAACGTAATTGTGTGAAGAATTCAAAGTGTAAATAATTAAGAAAATTTAAATAATACATCAAACATTATTTGTTACGGCTGTCTTCTACGAAATATTAAATTAATAATAATTAAATATTAACGGCTCAATAGCACAAGCTATTTCATTATTTTAAATTAAATTTATTTAATTTTGTGTGGCACAACTATTTACTTTAAAGTCTGCTTGTCACAAGCCACTGTCTTTAACATACACTATAAAACCGTCATACATAGACTTTTGAAAGCCAGCTAAAATCTTTGTTAGTCCACTAAATATTAATTGCACTGACAGCGTAGTTAGTACGTATTTAGCAGTTGAACGTCCTAAGTGTACATATATCTAACAATTGAACCAATTTGCAACTGTAGCAACAATGCCTCGTGATGGATATGCTGCGGTTTTGGACGTTAGCCAGAATACGGGATCATCTTTTGTTAGAATTTCGAGTCGTACTAGCAATTTTTAAGGGCTACAACTACGAAAGCAGACAGCGAAATTGAAATGGATAAAGGTTACCGCGAAGTCTGTAAAGGAATTTAACCATTTGTTTGAACGGCTTTTGTATTGGATTTTTGGCTGCGTAAAATGTGGTGGGGTGTGGCTGTGGCTTACGTTTTGATGCCCGAGGTTGCGAATGTTATTAAATGAGAACGATATGAAATAAGGTTAAATATAAATGAGTTTAGGTTAAAAAAGCGAATACATGGATCTTCGTAATGATTAAATTATCCGACTGTTTGAAAGCTTTTATGTTTTAAATGTACATGGCATTATATAATAAAAGTCGTTTTTTAAAAAAAAAAAAATGGGGGGGGGGGCGGAAACCGGAAAAAAAAAAAAAATTTTTTTTTTTTTTTGGGGGGCCCAAATTTTTTTTTTTGGGGGGGGGGGGGAAAAAAAAAAAAAAAGTTTAAATTGGGTAAAATTTTTTCCCCAAAAAAAAAGGAGGAAAAAAATTTTTTTTGGAGGAAAAAAAAGTAAAACTTAAAAAAAATATTTTAAGACTAAAATTTTGTTGGCATTTGAGTACACAGACTTAGTTGAATGATGCACGAATAGAAAATGTAAAGTCGTTTTAAGAAAGAAAATTTTGTTTCAAGTATAAGGTAACCTACAGGAGAGCTTTCTTGTGATAGCAATTATTGTACGTATTTTTCGTATAAGCAATTTTTTTCTTGAACGAAATAGTACACATTTAATTGCGTACAAGAACACAAAAGAGCACAGAAAGGACATTAGATGAAAATCTAGGAAAAATATCGTCTTGATAAAAGGACAATCGTGTTCCACGCCCCTACAACCCGCATTTATCAGAGTGTCTGAAGGCGTTTCTTAGAGACGGTGCGTAGAGATAAGACAGTGGTCTTAGCTGTAGAGTTATGGTGGCTCGCGACGATTTGACCGCTGTTGTCATCACATATTATTACAATGACGGTCGCCGTTGTACTATCGAGCTGTAATGCCTAATCCATATATGTAATGCATTCTTTGGTCTATTATCATTATTTTAGTCTTCTAAGCTCACAGTTTATTTGAAAGATCAGTTCTTTTAATGATTTGAAGAGTATGCAAAAAGGTGGAAATGTTAAATAATAATCAAGCACTGCTCTACATAAGTCAAATCTAACAAGTCTTGAAAATTAAACTATAGATTTTTTGCGGCGAAGAAATTATACTAAAAGAAAATTTGGAGGGTAGTTTAGTTTTTTCGATACGACCACCAAAAGGGTCACCGTGCGTTAGAGAGAATACTGGTTTTATTTTATAATAGTTTCCTGGAGTATATTGTGTTCTTTAAAGTCATTAATATTAGCAAAATTAATGCACCTACGCGGGTGACGTAAGTTTATAATTAACCTCCCTTTAATATTAAAGGGAATATAATTACACAAAAAAATCAATTTCAAAGTGTTAATGTTCAACGGATGGTTGCTCATATTTCTAATTACGATACAGACTGACACGCCACAATACATAAATAGTGTACATAAATCATGGTTACCACTCGACTGGAGGTTTGTATTTAGACTATTAAACCAAGTTGTCCATGTACTTATTGAAATTTATCGACGCTCTACCGTTTTCTGTCTTTGTATCTTATTAAGTCTGTATATCCGCACCAAACACCTTTAATTGCAAAGTGCACTCCGCTGACCTTACGCTATTTTCGCTAAGAGGTGCTTTTCTAACGTGACTCGTTCTAGAGCTGTCTAGTGCTCTAACGCAGGCTAGACATGAGCTTGTTTTACTTTTATTTGGAGCGTGAGAAATTGGATGTGTCGTTACTCAAACGATATTGCCTCTTTGATTGAATGGTTGTGAGTTGAATTGTTTGTAATTTTGACCGGTTATCAATTTTAAATACCTACTCTACGAAAGTATAAATATTGCTAAGTCTTTATGTGTCAAATTTTAGGTGTTGGATACTTTGACGCGGCATGTTTCCAAAATTGTTTTAATTGTTGTGTGTGGAAAAGTAACAGTCTTCGCAATTGTTTTTTACATTTTAATCTTTTCATGAATAGGATATGTCTGTAAAAGACGCCAATATATTGACAATTAGATACTTATTTATTGATTTCCCGGTCCCGTCATCTATATAAGGTAGCACTGTCTGTAGATGCCAATATTGGAATGTTAAATATTTTTACGAAAACGATTGAAACGAAATGTTATGAAAACAACGAAATTTTGCGAACAATACAGTTATAATGGTAAGCGTATTTACGCAAGAGTAATTGAGTTTCACCCGGCACCCGGGGGAACCGCGTCTATACTATTGTTAACGTTTGTCTTCTCTTGCAGGTTCTGGAAAGTCGTACACAATGATGGGTGCGCCGGGACCTGACGAAGGCGGCATTATACCGAGGCTTTGCGACGCTCTCTTTGAAAGGATAGCTATACAACAGTCGCCGCCGGCACTCACTTATAAGGTGGGTTACACATTACGATCTATCGATTCTTATTATACACGAGTTTATTTAAATGAGGTGCTAAAAATGTGCGGGAAATGAATATTTTCTTTGTATTAGTTTTCCAATATCGGAGATAAGTTTATATTAACTTTGTATGTCACAAATATTCGGGCAGACAAAAATGTCGAATAGACAACATGACGTTTTTGTCTGCGCTCTGGTACGCCCAGTGAAGACATTAGAGAAAACGGCATTTTATATTCTGTTAAGACGTCATTGAAAATAGATTAACACAATATATATTACAAATGTTAAGAGGACTGTTAAAATCTATTTAGAATGAAAAAAATTGATGACACGGGGCTACTTGAACCACGGCCAGTGATGCTGCGATGTGAGCAACCACGTTATCAATATTTTTCATTCTTACTATATTTTTATTTTATAGAATGCTATTAATTAATAAAACTTGACTTTTTTTACCAATATTGTCCGTATTAATCTCCTGTCTCTTCTGTTAGTATAATAATTTTACGCACTGTTTCAAAAGTTAATCTGTAGCAAAATCAATTTTTTCCCGTAATTCTTACGTTCTACAAAAAATATGAAACTTGATCATAGGTGGAGGTGTCATACATGGAGATTTACAACGAACGAGTGCACGACCTGCTGGATCCAGAGACAACGAGGAGGTCCCTCCGAGTTAGAGAACATGCAGTACTGGGACCCTACGTGGACGGGCTCTCGCAGCTGGCAGTTACGTCATTTCATGTAAGTTAGACAACATGGAAAATAAATTGTGTAATATTTTCACGGCCATCGTTCAGCACATAATTGTTTTTCGGGCTGTTCGGCCGACGTAAGCGAGAAGAGGTACTCGATGTTTCGCTATCACGAGCGGACAGCATCATCGGGAGATGTTAGCTTCTCGATTTCTCGAAAAATATATCATAATACACATAAAAAAAAAAAAAAAAAAAAAAAAAAAAAAAAAAAAAAAAAAAAAAAAAAAAAAAAAAAAAAAAAAAAAAAAAAAAAAAACCCCCCCCCCCCCCCCCCAAAAAAAAGGAGAAGGGGGAGGAAAAAAAAAACAACAAAAAAAAAAAAAAAAAAAAAAAAAAAAAAAAAAAGAAAGGAAAAAAGAAGGGGGGTTTTGTTGTTTGTTTAATTGGGGGGGGGGGTTTTATATTTTTAAAACCCCCCAAAAAAACACCCCCCCCCCCCCCCCCGGGGGCGCCCCCCGAAACCCCCCCCCGGGGGGGGGGAAAAAACCCCCCCCACAAAAAAGGGGGGGCCCCCCCCCCCCCCCCCTTTTTTTTTATTAAAAAAAAATTTTTTTTTTTTTTTAAAAAATTTGGTTATAAGTTAAAAGTTTGTAAAAAAATTTTATGGCAAAAAACGTTTTGAATTTGATTTGTATGGTTATTCTTGCTCACGTCGGCCGAAGAGCCCGAAAAACATTGATAAACACGGAGAATATTATTATATCTGGTTTAGTTTAGCTAATCTCTTTAGTACACAATTACTTAAATTTAACTAGCTAGTAAATATAACATAATATATACGTAACTTGCCTGTTATGATATTAATGTATTTTAAAATAAAAAAATACTTTGTTAATTTTACACCAACGACATTTTATTAACTCCTCTTTATTTAAATATTCAACTTGGAGTAGAGGTGAAATTTTTAGGTTTTTACCTACAACGAAAAGCATGGTACCTGGTGGAGAACCCTGAATGTGATGTGAACACTTAATATTTAAATAAAAAACTTTAACGGTTTACATAGCCACGGCTGCTGCAAAGCATCCGAAACGTCGGGCCGAAGTTAAAAATCATTTTCTAATAGGTTTAACTAATATATCGCGTTTTAAACCGTTAAAGTGTTTTATTTAAATGTGTACTACTCGCGTAAACTATAGACAGTATTCAAATATTATCTAGCAAAGATAAAGCATCAGTTATACATGTACAAGTTTTCAAAACAATTTCAGAACCAATACAGGTATCCAGTTGTGTAGCCTATTGATCCCATATAATTTGAATGGACCGTGGCTGTTTGCAATTCCGTTTGTTTGCTTAATTTTCATATTGTGCTTTCGAATATTCCAACTCGCAAACTTTCGCCCATAAAGCCCCGTGCTACATAAATCGTTAAATTATTCGTCACCGGAGTAAATTTGACTCTGACCTCTATTCTTATACTTTTGTGGGCGCAGGTCGCGTATCTCCGCATCTTTCTTTGTGAAAATAAAAGGTCAGGGGTATTCGAGCTGATAACTATCTTTTACGATTGAACCTTAAGTTACCGCTGAGTATAAAAGCGTGAGATTATCTGATAGTGGACAACCAAGATGGAAATTGGCACTAATTTAAACGTCAATTGCACTACTTCAGATTTATAGGACGCGTTTTAAAAGAGACGGAGTTAGCTTTATAAATAGAATTTGGATAAAACAACTTATTAATATGACCTGAAATATAGGTTTATAAGAATGCATTGTAAAGCAATTTTGACCACGTTATATGTATGGATAAGAAGTAACAAAAACTGTCCATTTCACTTTAAATTGAATAAAAACATAAAATAAGACATAGACCCATAATTTAGTAAACCATCCAATCCAAGTACATAATATAGTAATATGTAATAGATATGTAAAACATTTTTTTCACTCTACTTAAGACACCTCGGGGCAATTATGACGATTTCTACCATTAAAATATCTACGTACCAAAATAACATCTCTATGCATGTTATCTTTGTAAATTTTCTCAAGCACCAATTAAATGTAAGCCTCGTCAGGAGTGGCCCGAGTCGTGGCAGCGGAGCCGAAGATTGTCTGTTCCCAAAGCTTCATTATGCTGCGTCGTGTTCCGGGCTTAACGGCATCCATTATTTTGTCTTGATTGCCATTAATGCCGCCGCTTCTACGCTAAACGCTTAATTCTCTAAGTTTTGCTCCAAAGCCAACCACTTTGCAGTGCCTTTTCTCTTTCAGATTGTTCTATCTGACTTTGAATCACTCTTGTAACTTCCACATTTTGGTAGACTTCAAAGTGGATTAAAAAGAAAACTTGAAATAAAGACGATTAGAATCTACGTTCTATTTTTAAATTGGCTTGTCCTAACAAATAAAATCGGGCCGTATAAAAAAAAAAATTCAAACAAGTTTAAATAATATACTTATATAGCGTTTTAAACCGTTAATGAGTTTTATTTAAATGTTTAAAGTACAGACATTATTTAAATAAATGTTGACTTTACTTTTTACAAGAAAACAAACGTTATGGAATGGTGTCTTCTTTCTATATTTAATATATTCTGTGTTTGATGTAATATGTAGATGTATCTATCATATAGTGATTACTAAGTCAGAACTGTACGATGGAATACGTAATGTGTTTTCGCTCCGGTGATGGATTACACGTTGAACCTATATTTTATATCACATATTGCCATCTGATTCGACTTTGAATTTGTAGGTCGTGTATTTAAAATTGACACAGAAGACGGATGACGTGTATACTTTAAATGGCCTTTTTAATATCTGGGTAATTGAAGGGACTACTAATATATTTCTACAAGAAGTAGATCTATGTTAGAAAAGCTGTTCAGTATCAAACTTCAAATATAGATAGACAATATTTAATGACAACATTATTTCGCTGTAATTTTCATGAAATAAATATTTATGTCCATCCATTCGTTAACCAAAAATTTAGCCATTGTCAATAATAGAGGTATAAAGTATAGATAAAATTTATTTTTTTAAGAAATGACGCGGCGAGAATAACCAAAGAAAGAAGGACAATGTAGGTAATCTCTTGAGATCCCGCGCTTTTCCTTTTGTAGTCGTAAAACTACCTAGTTGTCTATAAAAATTGGCAATCACGCGAAACAGAATTGGCAGATGGGCCGATGTTTACTTGGGTTTATTTGAAACGACATTATTTACTCGCGTTTTGCGAAATTCCTCTGTTACACGCGAATGAATACGAATCGTAAAAAGTTTAAAAGGAATTGCCATGGAATATGCCAGTTATATAAAACTTTTGTTTTTATTTATTGAGAAAAAAATCTTTGTGTTAGTGCACGTGGAAAACATAATTTGCCGGACAAAGCCATTTTACTTCTTTCAGCTCACGAAGCCAATAAACCAGTAAACACAATAAAATATATAGAACAAAAGAAAAAGTTTAAAATTTTTTGGACTATATATATTTTACATACATTTACTGTCTAAATATTAGAATTCAGTAATTGCTTATCTTCACCCTGTTATGTAGACGAAGTTATCCAGAATTTACTTAAGCGAACAACAAATCGATGTTTGATATCAACAAGTGTGAAACAAGGGCTTAGGGAAAGTACTACGTATCGATTATTCAATGAACACTTAGTTTTGACCGTGACACAATTCCTTTCATGGCAAAAACTGGGTTAAAGATGGAACAAGGATGCAATTACTGCCTTTTTGTTTGCCACAGCGTTACGTTTTCTTTTGTGATAACTGGAATTTCTACTTGTCATATTATAACAGATCAAAATTATCGTCACACAATGTTATAATAATTAAAAATGATATTACACGTTTACACGTAAATATCATTTTGTTTTGATTTATAAAACTATTTTTAGGTAGTTTTTAGGTATCTTAGTTTTTTAACTCCTATATTTTGCATTTTAAACCGTTAAAATTGTATTCACATGATATTGCCTGTTTCTATAGTCAAGCCAACAAAACTTATTATCGCTTGGATTTTCTTCTTAAGTGTAACACAATACCTATGATAATAGAAAAACATACCTATATACCGCTAAATAGAACAATATGTATTAAGATTTTATCGTTTTCGAATAAATAAAAACTAATTTAGGCCGCTTTGAAACAAGGTTTTAATGTCCTACAGATAGTCTAAATTCCGTTATCGGTCCTATATAATTTCATTAATAAACAAGAGATTATCACCATACATTGTAATGGTAATGAATATTAATAAGAAATACTTATATATATATAAATAAAACTGTAGCGAATTTGCTTCTTAATTAGTAAATAAATTAAGCATTATTGTTAATCGAAAATAGAAGAAGAAGTAAAAGAGAAGGACTTGCAGCCATATTAATCTAGCAAGTCTTGCAAGTTTGTAAACTGGTGTTTGATGTTTAGTTTTCCAAGTCAGTATCTTCTATCTAATTTCTGGCGCCGTAGTTGAGCTGTGATGGTCTGTCCAATACAAGTCACAACTTTTGACAAGAGGCGTTTCGCTCCTGGCTGCTGAAATTGCTTGCTATATTACTTCTCTACGGGCTCTCTAAATCGTCTACTTGAAACTTGGTTATTGTGTAACTTTGGCGAAACTGTACAAAATAAAATTACTACACGCCCTCTAGTTACCCGTCGGAGATATGGCGATGTTTTCCGGGATCACTGCTGCTTTGCTCTAAAGTTTTTACGAATCGAAGTGATATGACAAACCTCTGCTTCTATACTGTCTTACATCATCCATCTGGGATCATGTAGCGTAGAGAGTCTAAAATTGTTACAATCACCGCTTCTTTAGAAAGTACGAGTTAATAATCACCAGATTTTAGATCTCGTCCGACCAAAATCATTATGTTCCCAGGATTTGAACCTAAACTTCTCGAGGTTAAGTGCGGAAAAGGCGGTCACGTTACAAAATATAAGACGGAGGAAATATAAAGTGTAGCTAATGATGTTAAATTGTACGTTTTATTGTATATAGTTATGTTAACATTTTGTTCGAGATGTTACACCCAAGAAATGTTGCATAATTGCTTTTAAGGTCCTGATATATTACTATAACGACGTGTAAAATGTAAAATTTTTGATCTTGTAATAACGTTTTAATCCTAGCACCTAAAGTGAGCGTAATACCTTATTACAATTTTTAAAGCTTTTTTATTTCCAGGACATCGATAACCTCATGACAGAAGGCAACAAATCACGAACGGTCGCTGCGACAAACATGAATAGTGAATCATCACGTTCGCACGCCGTCTTCAGCGTCGTGCTGACGCAGACCCTCTGCGATGCTGCGACCGGGGTCACCGGGGAAAAAGTCGCACGACTATCACTCGTCGACTTGGCCGGCTCCGAAAGAGCTGTGAAGACTGGTGCCGTTGGTGATAGGTTAAAAGAAGGCTCTAATATTAATAAGTGAGTTGCATTCTACTCCTAAATAGCTGTATTGGTACTGGGGGCTATTTCATACCACATAAATCTGACCACTTTATTGGCTCTAAAGTAAAGAATTATTTATACTTGTTGTTGATGGGCTTGTTGGTGTAATGGTAACAATGTATGGCGAATTATCAACATTTATTTGAAACTACTGACTTAGTTTGTCAGTCTGGATATTAAAAATGTGGTATAATCCATCCAGTAGCCTCCATTAAAAAATAATAATAATACATTTCTTAACTATGTCTTTAATGGGGCTAGATAAAATAAAATATTTATTTATTATGCTTATTATTGTTGTTTATATATTTCCTTTGCTAAGGATTTAATTTCCATGCGTCCTGCTCGGATGGGTTTTCTTAGGTTGTAAAATGTAAAGTTTTACAAAACAAAAGTGCTATAGTACCTTAGAAACTCTAATTACGGACATGATATATAATGCCATCGCCTATATCAACTCTCTACATATATATAGTACAATGAACGGATCGTCACTATTGATTGTGCATGTTACAGGTCACTAACAACGCTCGGCCTAGTAATATCAAAATTAGCAGATCAATCGTCCGGTAAGAACAATAAGGATAAATTCGTGCCGTACAGAGATTCAGTGTTAACTTGGCTGTTGAAGGACAACCTCGGTGGAAACAGTAAGACGGTTATGGTAAGTCTTTTCATATGTACAGCAACTAAGTAGCCGCTGGCTGCGAATTTTGTCTGTGTCATCTATTTAGTTAGTCTTTCTAAACAAATCAACATAATATAGAGATCTAGTAACTTTTATAATTAACACGTTTATATGATTGCGTCTGTCATTTTGTAAAAAGACAATTAAAGTTACAGCATGACATCAAGGAAACTGTACTTGTCCCTTTATTTGCAGGAGTTCGTACAAATATAAAGCAATATATCGGGGTTTTAGATTGTATATCACAGTACATAAGCTACTTAACAATATACCAACAGATATAAGTAAAATTCGCCGACGAAAAATATACCGCCGACATTGTAATAGCTTGATAGTAAGACCAAGATAGACTACTTATAACTTATTTTGCATTATACTTGTGTTTAGAAGACCGTCCAAATTTCTTACTGTAATAGTTAGTAACATAATAACACGTTAACATTGGTTAATAAACGTCTAAAACAGAAAAATCTATGTATTGCTTATAGGTGGCTACAATATCTCCAGCAGCCGATAACTACGAGGAGACATTATCTACACTACGATACGCTGACAGGGCGAAACGAATCGTGAACCACGCGGTCGTTAACGAAGATCCGAACGCGAGAATTATTCGCGAGCTACGACAGGAGGTCGAAGCACTCAAGGAGATGCTCAAGCATGCTACGGTAATTATTGCTACGTATTGTCTACGCGGCTACGAGGGTTCATGTGCTACGAAGCGTAGCTACGACGACATTGTTTGATATTGAAAGTTTTTATTTTATTCTACAATGTACGGATTGTAGATGGTTGTAGGTATTATGTTAAATTAGTTTCATTTTGAATTTACTTATAGAAACATGGCAGTTACTGTCTTTCTTTAATATGTTTTATTAAGTTTTATTTTTATATGCTGAAATCAGAAGATCTATTATGTAATTTATAATGAAAATGGAATACTACTATGGTGTTACATAACAATTACAATGTGATAGACTTAAGAGTAAAAAACAAACAATTTATTTGTAATAAGAGTCCATGAATAGTATTTTAGTATCAAACGATAATATAACATCATAAAGTATGTAACTATTATACTGGCCTTGCGTTCTAACTCACAGTTCCTCGTAAACTGCACACTTGTAGTGCGAGAGGGTTAAAAGCAAGGCAAAAGGTATGAAAAGTTCAAGACGCCGACAATATCGCGAGCCCTTGATAAAAGAGGTCACGTATGTACGGATCATACTCAAGACTGAGTTAGGGGACGGGGAATGGAAATATCTCAAATAGAACGGCTAGATTCTAGATCCAAGGCAAAATAAGATATGTAAATGAGAGTTTTTGTACGCCTCTTTGCCGATTCTTCGCTGGAAAATAGTTAGACTTTGTACGTCTTGTATTCCGTTGTAAATAGGATTTTGTTTGAAATAACATTTCAAAGCTTCACACCTAAACAGTTACTAATATCATATGGAGTCTAATTTGGTAGTTTTATGTTGCTGTTGGGTTGGTAGCAATGTTTGCATTGGTTGGGGCGGGTTTATATACTAGTAAAATTGTGATGGGTTACATAAACAAAAATCTTAATTATGTAAAACATGGTTCAATGTTTTACTGGTAGTTTATTATCTCAGAAATAGACCTAGTGATAGAAAGGAGGAGAAATCCAGAAGGAAATTTCTTCAATAACCCATAAGATTGAATTTCTATCTTATTTCCACATCAGGCTAAGTTACAAAATTTAAAAATGTATTATCAAAGTAATACATACATTCTGTTTTCTCTAGGGCTCTCCGGTTGGCGAGGATGTACACGAGAAATTGGCCCAAAGTGAGCATCTCATGAAGGAAATGTCACGGACGTGGGAGGAGAAACTCGTTGAGACCGGTCAGTATTTTTAAGCACCCACAAGGCCGTTCATACAACAATTCTATTTCTATTATTAAATAACAGTATTCTTTTAATACAAAAGTAATTTTGTTATAGCTTTAGACAATAGAACATGTCTAGCATTGCGTTAAGCGCTAGAAGTCCTCGGTTCGAATGCCGGGGAAAAAATAGATTGTTTCGGTCGAAGCAAAAGTTTCATCAACTACTTGTTTGTAAGTAAAACCAATCAGTATAACGGAGACAAAAATATGTTCGCCCAAAAATTCTGATTCGAGATACGTTTACTTTTTATTATTCCGTGAGTCGTGCTTTTTAGTTAAGGCTGTTGTGTTTTACGTCTTAGATTTCTTTTTGAAAACTTCTACAGACCTGACCTTAAGTTATCTCCATAATTTGTCAATGAATTTTCAGGCCGTGTTCAAAGCGAGAGACAGCACGCGCTAGAGAAAATGGGCATAAGCGTTCAGGCGAGCGGAATCAAAGTGGAGAAGAACAAGTTCTATCTCGTCAATCTAAACGCGGACCCCTCGCTCAACGAATTGCTCGTGTATTATCTTAAAGTGAGTTTTACTCCCCTGAAGATCTTTTAGCGACGAGTTCATTTGAGTATATGCTTAAGAAACAAACGTTTTAATTTTTCACACAAAAATTTATTTTATGTCAAGCGTGAAAATGTAAAAATTAATTATGTTAGATATACCTTAATTTACACAGTTTAAACAGATATATGTTCGGGTAAACAGGATTTAATTATTAGATTGTTATACTTTGAGTTAGTAAGAGTATCATACTAAGCTTTTTGTTCACTCAGTTAATTAATATGTGTCCAATGCTACTCAAATATTAAAATTTAATACTTTTAATTTAATTTATGCAGACCTGATTGACAACCTTTCTTAATAAATCACTCCTCATTCTAGGATCGTACATTGGTAGGCGCAGATAGATCAGCCGACATCCAGCTATCTGGGTTAGGTATACAGCCACAACACTGCCTTCTCGTCGTGGAAAATGGCGGCCTCAATATGGAGCCAGTTGGCGCGGCGAGGTGTTTTGTTAACGGCACGCCTGTTGTGTCACGCGTGAGACTGGGACACGCTGATAGAATTCTGTGGGGAAATCATCACTTCTTCAGAGTTAATTGTCCCAAGGACAACAATGAATTGGGTAGGTGACTATTGAAGGTTGTTTAATTTAGTTAACAGTGTTACGTACGCCGACGTATGGCGCACAACGTGACTTTTTTGGACAGAATCTTCACTGAATAATTTGAAATTAAGGTTAAAAATTTCTGGCAGGGAAATTTCAGAGGCTGTTTTAGTCACGTGTATAATATATTTTATTTTTGTGACTCTTTATTTTATGTTCATTACTATTTTTTTATTTTAAATATTTTGTGCTATGTGTTAGTTTATGTATTGTTCTACTTGTCATGTCAAGCGTGGGGCATCACTGAAACTGTTCCTACTTCAAGGTACAACAAAAGCTGAGTCCCTCCGCATTCATGTATTTTATTATCTAATTTCTATATTTTTGTATGTGAAATTAATTATTTGATTTGATTTAGAATTATAAAAGGCTTATAAAAATGTGACGCTATGTTCTCTTTTTGCTTATAGCAACGGCCTCAGAGCCACAAACTCCCGCGCAACCCATCGACTACAACTTTGCTCGGGACGAGATAATGCTCAACGAATTAAGTAACGACCCCATTCAAACTGCTATTTCGCGATTGGAAAGACAGCACGAAGAAGATAAACAGGGTATTTTCTTGTTCATTTTTCTAGACTAATCTTATATGTATACATGGAGTCTGTTTTTATTCCTTCGTGACGATGTACGAGAGGTTGTATTTTAATGAAAGGTAAAACCACAATCTCTAAAATAAAACAAACAAGTTTTAATATTTATTCGGTATGTTGGATTTCGAGCGCCGAGGCAAACGTTGTCGCCGTTCCGACATATCTTTAATGTGTATCAGTGATAAATTTCATATTTGTCTTAAATTCGATTAAAACGATTAAAGTTAGATAAATACTTTTGTATACAAGAAGAAAAATATTATTTTATAGTTGCGTTGGAGAAACAGAGACAAGAGTACGAACGACAATTTCAGCAGCTACGGAATATACTATCTCCATCAACACCATACCCGCCATACTCGTATGATCCGCTCAAATTAGGTAAGTTATTTTACCAAATTAATTTATCAAAAACGAAACGTACCGTTTATACACATACATTACAGTACATTTTTAGGTACAGATATAAAATGAAGGCAAATCTAGAAAATATGCCAACTTTTGGTTGTATTTACGGTAACACCCTAATAAAGGTTGGGTGGTACCTAATCAAAATTTCGTTTAATACTATATATCGGCGCTAATACTTATTTTTCGTCATTGTAAATAAATAATGTTATATATAACTTTTAAAATAACGTAATTATTGTTTTGTTTTGTTTAATGTAAGTAAAAAAAAAGTTATGTTAACAGCGTGCGTCACAATTTATTAAGTATCAATGGTTCAGAATTCTTCACGTTCTGCAATAGATTAGTAGTAAGTGGGGAATATATTGCCCGAACAAACGAATGAAGATATCATCTTCATTCGTTTATAATAATCATAAAATCAACTTTTACGCCATGTTTAAAGTGCTTTCGGAACAAATTACACACTTATATAATTAAATAAATACATATTTATTCGATTAGATGTTAACAAGTAATTTATGAATTAATTAGTGTCACTTTGATCTGGATCTATTACAATGTCGGCTCCCGAACCTATAAAGTCGTAAATAGTAATATATTCTACTGTAAATTTGATCATCTATTTTATTTTAAGGGAAAATGACGGCATGTACACCCACTACGGCTGCTCGCGTTGAACGCTGGGCCGCGGAAAGAGACGATACATTCAAACGATCTATAGGAAGACTCAAAGCTGACATATTACGGGCCAATGCTTTGGTGCAAGAAGCCAATTTTCTCGCTGAGGAAATGAGGAGGAACACACGGTTTAGCGTCACACTACAGATACCGCCGCAGAATTTGAGTCCTAATAGAAAGGTTGGCATTTGACAAAATATATTTGTATCTTATTTATAAAAATAGTATTGTTTCTTTACGAAATCATAAAATAGAAAAATTTAAATTTAAACATAGATTATAAATTGAATTAAAGAAAAATACGACTCAGGCAGGACTTGATCCGACATCCACAGCATTTCGTGCTGTTGCTCTAACCAATTGAACTACCGAGTCCGGTAAGAGCAACACCACCGAACTTCTGTCTGAGTCGTATTTTTTTTTTTCAATTTAATAGATTGTTCGGAAAGTCATTTCGTTTGGGGCACCCACACATCGAGCTTCGAGATTAAGCCTATGCAAAATCTTTCAAATGGCCATAAACAGTCGAATTCGGCAAATTTAATCTCTCCGTGTGGTTATTCGCCGATTTGCATCAACTTATACCTTTATCGCATCTTTGTCAGCTTCGACCGGTTTTCCAGACCGTGGTGCATCTTCGACATCAAAATTGCCGGATCGAAATTTTGCAAACCAGTTCTGGCACTGGCGTACTGTTAACACGCCTTCTCCATACACATCTGTCAATTTTTTCTCGCTTGGACAGTATTTTTTACCTTTTCTGAAGTAAAAAAGTAAAATATGCGAAAATGCTGCTCTCCATATTTAAAAGGGCACCAACCAAAAACTACTGTGTAGAACTAATATAACTTTCACACACAAGCATTGCAATATCACCTCTCAAGACATATAATGATTATGCGGCTTAAGTGTGAAGTTGGTTTCGAAAAAAAATAATTAAGTCCTCTGACGGGAAAAAACGAAATTACTTTCCGAACAACCAATGTAATCGATTTTTAATTTATATATAATATTAAAGTTTTAAAGACGAAACTTATAGAGTAGTTTTAACATAACTTATGCGCTGAATTCATAAGCATTTTAGTATAATTTTTTGTTACGTTAATTATATGGCCATAATTTTTTTTAAACAAGACAAATGCCACCTAATTCTATCCATTCAGCTGATTTGTATACATGGATTATAATAACATTTGTCATTTTTTTTCTAGCGCGGTGCGTTTGTATCTGAGCCGGCTATCATGGTGAGGCGTCCGTCTCGCGGTGCGCAAGTCTGGTCTATGGAGAAATTGGAGAACAAACTGGTCGATATGCGGGATATGTACGACGAATGGCGACATAGGCAGCAAACTGACGAGGAAATTGACGTAAGTTCATTTATCACAGAAACCTTATTTAAAACCATCAAATTAATATTAAAAGCTAGATTTTGCTAACACAGCTTCTAAATAGCTCCAAATTACGACTCATCTATATGTTCTATTGAACACGATAAAATCAACCACTATCCAGTTCAAACACATCATTGAATTTTTAAGCCAAGTCCGTTTCGCTAAAAAAAATCTAGATTAATCTCTTAAAAAAGACTTACAAATTGTGTTAAGCAATTTAAGCGCGACCACACGTATTACGTTGTTGGATAAACTAAATGACTTTGTATGAGTTTGCATTAACGTAGACGTTTCTAGTCACGAAGCACGTACAAATTACACTTATAATTTCAGGACGCAGCCGAAATAGATGTGGAAACACCAACGGTGCGTCGTAGTATTAGCTATATCTGTAGTGCTTAGTATATTTTATCTGTGGGGTTTATTTTTCTTTTATTTTCTATTATTAGTATAAACACTTTTTAAATATTATTATTTGCGTTTCTTTACACTGTTATATGATTACTTGTAAGACTTCGTTTCACCTGACGAATATCGTTTTTTGCAAATGATTTTTTTTTCTATAAACTTTTTGTGATATTAATAAATAATAACCCGTGCAGGAGCAAGAAGAAAAAGCGCTGGATCCATTCTACGAGTCACAGGAGAATCACAATTTGATCGGGGTTGCCAACATATTCCTTGAAGCTCTATTTCATGATGTTACGCTGGACTATCATACACCCATTATCAGCCAGCAGGGAGAGGTTGCAGGAAGACTGCAGGTAAATTTAATATTATTTTAAAAAATACTAAAAATTTACTTAAATTTAAACTTAAATTTTCATAAGTGTTTTATTGTTGGACAATTACTTAAATATTGTTTAATTTTAGGTCGAAATAAGCCGCGTGTCCGGGCAGTTTCCACAAGACCGTATCTGCGAGGCGGCTTCAGACAGCTCTGGTGATATGAGAGACGACGACGAACCAATCGATCCGATGACACAGCAAGTAAGTTATTGATAATAAAGAATTAATTCATAAAAACCTTCACGCGACGAAAGTATGGACAGAAACATGTTTTTTTTTTATTTTGGTGGAGAGGGCAGACAAGCGTAGGTTTACTCCCAGATCTCCAGACCAACTCTATGATGTTTCAGAAAAAATTTAAATTTTAAAATAAAATGTTGGCACCGATAGGGATCTAAGCTAACACACGTTCACACGTTGATTATTTGGCATCATCCGAAGCTACGTCACAAGTCTTTGCTATCCACCATTATTGTATTACATCCGTTATAATAATAACACGTTTAAATATTCGTATATTATAGGTGACAATACGAGTTGTGATCAAGCAAGCCAGCGGTCTGCCGCCGTCGTTGTCGAACTTTGTCTTCTGCCAATACTCGCTGTGGGGTGGTGGAGAACCAGTAGTTGTCGCTCCGCAAGTATCGGCCGACACGCCTCCGCCCGCCCCCGTACCCGTAACCGTGCCCGTTACAACTAGTCCCAGACATCACCTCCTCACGTTTCGTTTCGATCACAAACGAGACTTCACTATACCGCTCACTGAGGAGTTTATAGAACATTGTGCAGGTAAAAGAACTTTTTCATTAAATTAAAAAGCGATTTTAGATTGAACAAATTTACGATGGGCAGGATTTGAACTGGCATCCATTGTGTTCCGTGCTATTGTTCTAACGAATTGAGCTACCCTGTTACATTACACGGTCCTGTCCTTGTCGTAATTTTTTTCAATCGTTTTTTAATTTTTATAACAATGCCATTATATTGTGCAATAATATGTGAAAAATATAAAATTCAATTTGGTTCACATAATACGTGGCTAACTAATTGTAACTGAATAATTAAGAGTTATGAAAAATATTTGTAGTTTTTGCGTTTTTGTGAGTCAATTGCATATATATTTTGAATCTTCTAGAGGGCGCTCTATCCATCGAAGTGTGGGGTCATCGATCTGCTGGATTTAGCCGTACCGTTGGAAATTGGGAAGTGGAAGCACAACAGTTGGCTAAAGCCCGCTCCTTAGCGGATAGATGGGCTGAACTCACGCGCAAGATTGAGTTGTGGGTTGAGATACACGAGCTGAACGACCAGGGAGAATATGCCCCAGTAGAGGTATGGAAGCTAAGAATATACTTGTAATTTTTAGATAATTTTGACTTTATTAGGTATCTTTAATTGTTAAAAGTTGCTAAACTTAGTTAACTATGGAGAACTTATATACTTTTAATCATAATTACATATTAGGGACGATTAGGTTAAAATACATTTTTTTTTTAACCACGACCCGACATTTCCAAAGCTTTGTGGCCGCAGTCCCTCCGTTACCACGTCTAGTTTAAACCGTTATACCCACCAACAGTTCGTGTTTTAAAACCTAATAAACTATTCATTTGAAATGTCTCATTACTAGTAGAGTCCGGTGGGTGTATTTACTTATACCAATTTCTCATATATTTTTTGGTATTATGTCCACTATGAAACTATAGTTTAATTTATTTTTAGGTTGTTCAACGGCCAGACATTTTGACTGGCGGTGTATACCAATTACGCCAAGGTCAGCAAAGACGTGTAGCTGTTCGCGTGCGGCCCGCTGCTAACTCGGGAACACTGCCTATTATTTGCCAGCATATCGTCAGCGTCGAAGTGGGATCTGTCACTGTCAGGTACAGTTTAAAGTTACCCTTATGCCGTTGATATACAGTCGAATTCAAAAACAGTATCTAATTTTGTTTTATTATCCATGTATATTAGATCGCGACTGCAAAAACCATTGGATTCATACCAAGAGGAGGATCTGGCTGTACTCCGAGAGCGATGGAGCGAAGCATTGGCCAGGCGGAGACAGCACTTACATGCACAATTACAGGTGAATTTATAAACAAAAAAATTACAAACTTTTTGAGCATAAATCGTTTATTAGTCCTTTAATCCTAAATTTATATTTAAGTAATAAAGTTTTACTAAAGTAAACTTTAATTAATGATTATGGTTTTAACGGTTTAAATCGCGTTATGTATTAGTTTCCTTATTTACAATAACGCTTTATTCGATTACGTTTTCGTTACAATTTCGGGTTTTATACCGTTATAAGTGTTCTATTCAAAAAATTACTACTCGCGTATATTATAGACACTACTAAGTAATTGATGTTTTTTATTATAGAAACTCGTAAACATGTCTCCATCGTTGAAAAGTGAGAGGGATATGGAGAGAGAACAGTCACTAGTGGAGCAATGGGTGTCGCTTACAGAAGAGAGAAATGCAGTGTTGGTACCGAGCCCTGGTAGCCCAATACCTGGAGCACCTGCCGCTTGGAACCCACCATGCGGCATGGAACAGCACATTCCGGTTTTGTTCCTTGATCTCAATGGTATGATGACAAAAAATTATTAGTTTTGCTAGATTAATTTATATCAACTGATAATAATTGTTGAAAGATCCTAATATTCAATTTTGGCAGGCTCGTTGATCTAATGATAGCAATGTATGTGAAATAATCAACGGGTCGTGGGTTCGATTCCTATCGGCTTCAACGTGTTTAAAAAAAAAAATATTTTTTTTAAAACATGTTAAATGTTTAAAACATACCAAATGGTTAGGAATATCGAAAATCCGTCTGAGTTACTAAGCACATTCCACTGATGATAAAGCCCGGAAGCTTAATAGCGTTTCGGTCTGTGGATTTCCGAATATCCAAAGCCAAAATTGGGCAACAGCGCATTTGGATTGGATGGTACATTCTTGTCTGTCCTTTATCATAAAAAAAATAAAGCTCTACTATAACTGTAATCATGGGTTCTCCAAAAAAAGGCACAGCAAGTGATGACTTTGGTAGCACCTTATCTGACTATATATTTGGACTGTTTGTTTATTCATTAGCGTCACGAGACCAATTCATTTTATTGTACGAAAACTCTTCTCATGCAATAAACTAATGTTGCTGGTTTTACAGCCGATGACTTAACCACTCACGGATCTGGTGAAGAGGTTTCTGTTTCCGGGCTACACTCAATCTTGCCCAAAGAACACGGGAACAGATTTTATGAACTCCAGCTGGTTCATCATCATCACAAAGACGTGTCAGCTGTTGCCGCTTGGGACTCTTCTATACACGATTCGCAGTATCTCAATAGGATTACGGAGGGTAAGAATAGAATAATGTTTATCCAGAAACAATACTGACAGCAGAAAAGGTGTCCACTAAGCTATATTGGAATTTATGTCCCAACACTAAGTATTGCAATATGGACTTGCTGAAAGACATTTTTAAGTTAAAAAGATTTTCCTTTATATTTTAAATCTTTAGAATTTAAATCAAGTAGTAGTTGAAGCTTTTATAGCAATATATTTTTTATTTTACAGCCAACGAACGTGTATACTTAATACTGAAGACAACTGTTCGGTTATCACATCCGGCGCCCATGGAACTGATTCTGCGCAAGCGCCTCGCTCTCAATATCTATAAGCGCCAGAGTCTCACTGATCGGATACGGAAGAAGATTGTCAGGTATTTTTTGTTACATTTTTATAATGATTTGCAAAGTGTTGCAGCATATATTTATATAAAACATAATTTGTTTTGAGTGTTCGTGAATTGCCATGTGTAGAAGAAAAATTTAACATATGTTTAAATTCAATATTATTACATTTCAGAGTCGACCAGTTGACACAGACAGGTGTGACCTACGAAGTGGTATCGAATATCCCCAAAGCATCTGAAGAGTTGGAGGAACGGGAGAGTCTGGCACAGATCGCTGCCACCGGCGAGGAGGCGAGTGCAGCTGATGGAGAGACTTATATCGGTTCGTATAGACCATGGTTTCATATTATAATTAAGAGATAATTATTTCATAATATATTGGAATTACTTAATTAAATGTGCCTAATAAATCGACATTCATGCATAATCTTGACTCTAATCGTTCGTGCTAATATTACCTTATATAAAACTTTTCAGAGAAATATACGCGAGGTGTTAGCGCCGTTGAAAGCATTCTAACATTGGATCGTCTTAGACAAAGCGTCGCAGTAAAAGAGTTGGAACAAGCTCGCGGACAACCAGTTACCATGCGCAAGACAGCCTCTGTACCAAACTTCTCACAGGTAACAATCAAATTTAGACTCTATTTTATAAATAAGGTACACTTTAGTTTTATAGGGTGTTTAATTTAGGATCTTTGTAATGATCATAAGTTAAAGCTTTTGAATTCACAAAAAACACTGCTTAGTCTATAAGCGAACATTAGTAAAGAACGCAGGCGCAAATACACCACACTCTGTTTTGTAATTGAAATAATATAAGGATATTTGTTGCATTTCAAAATATTTTAACTGAGCATAAGCATCAATGAAATATTACACGTCTCTTATAATAAGCGTTTAAATATTAAATCTAATTTAGTAACTGTATGTTGTATTTTAATTGTGTCAATAATATTTTCTTACCTAAAACTTGAAACACATCTAAATACATACATGACTATACACTTGACTTTTTTAAGTGCGGAAACAGGTAATTGGAAATGCTTTATTTTTTAATGTATATTTTTACCCTTTTTTTTATCGCTCCAGCAGCTCTGATTTTTTCTCCAAACGGATGCAGAAAGTAGCGGTTCAAATCTCTTGAAATGCAACAACTATAAGTAAACATGTATATTTCAGGGTGCTTTCTCACGACGCGACGCGTTCCAAACGCTTTGCAACGCGACTAGATATGTCGTTGATTTCGTATCGTCACTGCAAGGGCAGGATGAGTACGATACTCGAGATAGCGCGGGGCGTTGCGTGGTGAGAAACGATCCTACATTATGTTGCGTCTGCTTTGATATATTGCGTTCTATCACCGTCGCGTTCGCTTGTGGTAGGTGTCCGGTGTACGATCGACGCGTGACGTCATTCCATTGATGTCATGCATCAGGCCATTTATGCAAAGCGTAACGTTTCATGCTTTGTATTCAAATTAACGCCAGTAAAATTATGAAATTTCATTTGATTATTACATCGTACACATAGTTTTATTCATGGCTACATTCAAGTCGAGTCAAGTAAACAGGAGCATAAACTTAAAATTTAAAAAAATACGAAATTACGTTTAAAATGTAAATTTTCAAAGGAAATACTGTCTTGATTACAATTTATATATAAAAAGTTGCGCTTTGTATAAATGGAAAAATTCGTACGCATTATCATGGCCCACCACACAAAAACGCTATTAACTTGAGCTGTTTGCTATTTATTGATGTCGTTACTAACAAAAAAATGTATGAGGCGCGATCAGATACATAATTAACATGTTACGCGATAACTGAATTGAATAACGGACTCCTCGAACTACAAAAAGTAAGAAATTATTGAGCTCTGCTTTTTATCAGATTGTTTCCACGAGCGAGAGGCGAAGCGATTATTTAACTATGCACTTCTTCAATAAATTCATGATTCCTCATATACTTTAATTTCTAAGACAACTGTAAGAACATAAATAAGCCGTTTACAAATTTTAAATTAACTTTCAAATTAAATTCATACGACAGAAAATTCTTAGTCAGGAATTATTTGAACTACGTTCCTAAATTGCAAAAACCTAAAATGTTACTCAGTTAATAGATGTACTATGGAATAAAATTAATATGTTGTATCTAAAAAATTTTTTTTTGAACTATTGTTTTGTCATTATTCCATCGTATATCAATTTTGATCCCTAATTTCATATTAATATGGTATATCCCTTGTGATTACCCGCTCGTGTATACAATCATTAATGGTATGTGTTGTCGCTATGCACGCGGTCGCAGCTCTCGCAGGCGCTCGAGAACGCCGCCAAGAACGGGAACAACGTGAGTCAGCATGGCCCCTACACGCATACTCTATGTTGCATTACATTATTTTTTGTTACGCTACATTTGGTGTCTTGCGGTAGAACACTGTATATACGATATACTTACGAAATGCAGGAATGTTTTCTCGTTAAGTTCGCTATTTCGTGAAAGACATTTGTTCTTCGGTTTGGGGTGTAAGTTCAACTCTTGCAAATGTCTAATTCTCTTTTAAACAATTTTAGATAGTGTTATTACAGTGTTGCCATGTCAAATTTGTTTAGTAATAAGGTTTTTCTTATTGGCATTATTAAGTTATTTTGCAGCATTAAATGTTGAATAGGGAAGCAGTCAGATATTGTTTGAACTAATTGACTTCATGTCTTGATTATTTTTTCAATGAATGTAGATTGTGCTATATTCCGTCATTGTCTGGTCGATGTAGGATTGGGCATGTTTCATGTTTATGTTCTTCATCTTTATTATTATAAGCTAGCTCATACGCTGTACAATTTAGCTACCTTTAAAATAACTATAGATAACGTCTTTGTCATTTAAATTTAGGAAGATGCTTGCATGACGAGGAAACTGTAGTTTGTCTTGAAAATATTGGTTATATCCACTTATTTTCAAATTATCTTAAGGCTAAGTACTCAACTCACTGAATTCTACTTAAGCAGTACAGTGAGCAAGACAGACTTAATAAAGTAAAGACTCTTCTACTATTCTCCACTCTGTTGTCAACTGTTGGCCTTGTAGCACTCTAACACGACCTCACCAGGTGTGGTTTCGATCACAAAATTAAATGACAAAAACTAGAACTTCTTTTATGGGGCGCAGGCTATACAAATATATTTTGTGCAGTTTTAAGACTTGGTTTGTTATTATATAGATTATGCGTTTGGATTCATCGTTCGAGTCGTTAGCCGGGCTAGCTGCGGCTCGCTCAGGAAGTGTCGCGGATCTCGCCGACGAAACGCCCAGACGCAATATGCATCGGCATTCGTACGCGGCGCCCGCGCACACCGACGCAGATATGTCCACGCCCACAAAACCCTTTGGACTCGGTAAGTTACCCGTTACATTTACTAATTATAAAAGAGATACGTTAAAATAATAAATTTATTATACGAAAGGCTTTTTTATTAAAATTCGTCTTTGTAAAAAATACTTCTCTCTCTTTCTCTCAACACGACACATCCTCATTTTTATAGCTCACTGACCCGAATTCCTACTACACAAATTGATATTTTTTTGGTAACCGTACTACACAAATAGGTTTTAGTTAACTCTAGTGCATACAGTAGTTTGAGTAAATTCAATTCTTTAATTACAGAATAACTTTGCACGCACCTCGTAGGTTTTAGCTTGGCCATAAAATAAAACGAACACACCCTTACAACATACCTATAGCCACTCCTTTTTTTTGGTTCTACTCTTCACAGAATACATCTACCATACTCTCACTAATTTTTATTTCTACTCGCTTCGTGGCAATGCTATGCTCTGTGATCTATCTCTTATATCTTTTTCTTCTTAAGTCCTATTAAAATCGGTATATATACAAAAAGCCTTCTTAATTTTTGATTGTACCAAATATTAGGAAGGCGGTTTTATTCCAACATAATCCCGGCTTGAACTAACATTGATTTTTTTATTATCTTGACTCCCCGCAACCGCAGGCTCGTTCTTATCAGGTAAAAAGCTACGAGAAATCGTAATGACTCGGAATGGCGACTGTATGGCAAAATTATTAGGCGAATGCGATGTTTATATTGGAATTGAATAGTTGTATTGTGGTACATTTATATCGTAATCAAAATTCATAGTGACTCGGGATGATTGGCTGTAAATTGTGGGCGAAGACTATAAAATTTCGAGATCTTATAGACAATGGTTGGTGTAAAGAAGGCTGTTGAATCATTTCCGGCATCCAGCAAGCTTGTTTTGTGTTGTTTTCATTTGCTGTATTCTTTCATTTGCATGGTGCGAGCATGTACATTTCGTCCCGGTTCCTAATGAAACAGCCGTAGAGGAAAATGTTTCGGATAAACACCTAAATATACAGCCAAGTAACTGATTACGTATGTTGTGAAGTGATACAAAAAACTTGAAAAACAGTCAGTAGACATGTCATTGTAGTGCTAGATGAGATTAGGTGTGTAAGAAGTGAGTGCATGTATCAAGTAGCGATGTACTTGGTAACGAAGTGTGAAATAGATATATCGACGCATGGATTAGACAGTGTTATTTAGTATACAATTTGAATATTTAAATATCTCGAAAAGTCTTCAACTTATATTTTGCCAAAATTTTAAACGAACTTGCTATTAAAATCTAGAAAATGTCTTACTTCGTGATAGGTGTTAACTATCTATAGAACAAATATTATAGAACTCTCTCGAAAGATCTCTACTATTAAAGAATTGTTATTGAACCGTGTACTAACATTTCTATTTCAGCTCGTCCGACGTTCCTTAATTTGAATTTGAACCTGAACTCCCTCCGACTGCAGACGCCGAATAAGTGTACGTGCCAGACATTTAAGTCGTAGTTATCATTAGACTTGGCTTGTTCGAATACTTTCTTTTCATACGTTTTTGTTTCTTTTGTTTCCGGTGCTTGTTTCGTGCTCTCGTCAAAATCTTCGACGACGCTGAATCATCTTTATTGTTTACTCTTTTGTTTTTAGCTTTCTCTCTAGGAGTTTTTATTGGCATGAATCATTCGTCATTTAAGTTTATTGGCATTGATCTCTAAAATTCTTGTTTTTCAACTTTTCGTTTTTGGAATTTCAGTAGATTGGCGCGCTTAATGTGTGTGTGGGTGGAATTAGAATACGTGGGTGTAATTTCTACCTTATATTTCGGATCATAAGAACAAGAAATTCCTTATTTGGAAGATTTTTGTTGTATTATACCTTTTCGGGTACGCCTACTTCTTGTCCAAATAGCCAATACTGTGTGGTGGACAGATATGGAGCGTATTGTAAATGCATAGGGCTCTTTCAACGTATCCATCAACTTTTTTTTTTTTTGTCTGCAGAAGGTATTCTAGATTATAGAGCTTAATAAGCTAGATCAGAATTTGTAGATACACTTCACGCTCTTTGCAAGTTTTTTCCTATAACTCTAAGTCAAGTAAGTAAATTATCACGTCATGTTATTTCAGCGTCTCCGGCGAGTGGGAAATTGGGTTTACGTATGACAACACTGCACGAGGAACCGGGGCGGCGAAACGAAGAGGATTCGCACTCGGAGCCCGAATCGGCGCCTTCCGATGAACTAACAACGCCACGGTCACAAGTGAGTATAAATATTATTTAATAGTCTCTATACAATTGATAGAATTAACTAGGCTTTTTATTTAAGAACTATTGTGCCAGCTTGTCGACAGAAATTAATTTCCTTCTCTTCTCAATTTTTTGAATCACATTCCGACTCAATTATATATTCTACCGAGAAACCGAATTTGTTAGAGATGGCGCCACATACATAAAAGCTATTACTGTCTTCATAATAAAATAGTACCTATGTGTTATGCTTAGTAGAAAAGTTTACTATTAGTTTCGTTTGTCAATATTATAGTGTACTTAAATTAAATTTTGGCGTTCATAATTTATTTACTGAATAATTTAATGTAAGTTGCTTTAAATAAAAACACTTTGAACGGTTTAAACCGTTAAATAACTGGTTAAATGTGTACTACCCGCGTAAACTACAGACAGTGTTTAAGTTGCTTTAACTATAAATTTTCAATTAATAATATTTTTTTAGCGAACTCGGCCCAGAGCTACATCGCGCGGCTTTTTACCAACGTCAAAGACACTAGATTCCCTTCACGAGTTGGCATGTGAGAGGATCCCCAACAAGAATTCACCATCGATTTCCTCCAGTGGTTACGGTAACATTTATTTTTTTAATATTCGTGATAAGTCGAACTCAAAAGGAACGTAACAAATTATGTAGAATATTTATGTTTAATTTAAAACATTTTTCTGGTTTTCTTTACCTCTAATTTCCCCTTGCGTCTCTCACAGGCTCTCAGGCGGTGTCCTCGACAAATCTCACGAACGACGACACGCTATCCATTCGCAGTATGTCCGTAGATGACACACCAGACTTCGACAAGGTCATGGACTACACGCACCTGAACCGGACCAAGACGTCAGTGGCTGGACTAAGACACGAAATCAGCGAGCTCAGAAGCGACATAACCGACTTGAAGAATGAAATAGTTGAATCTAAGAATGAATTGGAAGACGTGGCGTACGAGAAGACAAAAACTCCAGTTCTCACCCCCGGCTCTAGGAACAGAATAAACCCATTCTTACGGGATTGTGAGGAGGCGATGAAGGAGGAAAAGGGTCAGATATTAGATCCACTCGGAGCTATACCGGTGGAGACGCATGTGGTAGCTACTAGTCAGAATCGAACGGACACTCAGGTCAACGGGGAAACTGCACATGAGACGTCATTCGGTGAGTTGAAAGATTTTCTTCTCCTCTGTTAGGACTTAACTGTGACAAACTGCGATAATAGTTTAAAAGACAATATATTACACATTTAACGGTTAAAACGCTTTCAGGTCATTTATTTTTAATTTATCCAGGCCCGACGCGTTGGATGCTTTACAGCAGCCGCGATTATGGTTTAAGTAATATATATCGCGTTTTAAACCTTTAAAGTGTCTTATTTAAATGTGTACTACTTACATAAGGTACAAATGATACTTAGACAATAATTGTAAGCGGAAAAAGTACTTATTCAAATATTTAAGTTATTGTAGTAGGTATGGGGTAAAATTATTTATTTACTACTTCCAAATAAAGACTTTTCTCTTTTATTGATATGTCTTGTGTAATACGCAGGTGAAGTAGAAGTTGAGTCTGTAAGCTCAGAGCAGTCGAGTCACGAACCGCGAAGTCGCGAAGCTTCTTCCGTAGGAGAAAGCGACTCTCCCGGACCGGACCCCGTCATAAATACATCTCTCCCTGCTGGAAAGGTACTGTAATGTACTGCTATATTATTTCTTAGAACATTATGTTAGCATAGTTTTGAAATATTCAAACTTGACATTAAATGTCGAAAGTTCCATCATTTTGAAACTGATCTTGATGTTTCGAACTACTAACAATATAAGCCTACCGAATTACACGTACAATACTTAGTTTTTACGTTGAGTATATTTTTTAATTGATGGTAATGTTGCACTTATGATTGTGTTTAACAGGTGGTCAGACGTCGAGCTGGCGCGGCGAGAAGTGCCGCACGTGCCTCGTATCCGTCCGGTCGCACGAAGTCTCATGATCATGCGCAGCCATTAAAGGACACACCCGCGTCCTCCACCGAGCGAATCGTTCACGGTGAGAGTTTCTTTCCTTACGATTTCAAACTGTATACATATATATGAAACTTTAATATTTTGCACATATTATTATTGCATATATATGATAAGGCATTATGTAAATTAAAAATCTATTTAATTTGAAAAAAAAATGGGTGACACGGGCTGGACGTTGACGCGGTAGCTCAATTGGTTAGAGCAGCAGCACTGAATGATATGGGTGACGGTTCAAGTCTCGCCCATGGCGTATTTTTTTACAATCTAAATAGATACAGAAATAGAATAAGTGTTAATGATACGATTTACAACTAATACTATTTGCAAACACCTCTATTAAAGTGGTGGTGACGTGTTAAATAACGTTATATATACGTAAATATAAAAAAAAAAACAGTTTAATATAAAATAGATGGCAAGTGAATGCCAACCACGCTGATATTTTTAAAAATCGTTTATTATATAGTAATTTTGGTATTGCTTCTCTTAATTTCAGACGAATCTTCAGAAAGTGACCGATCCCACTCAGTGCCAGAGTGGATGTGCGTTGGCGAGAGTGTACAACTGCGGCTTAGCAGTAGCACGGGCGTGGTAGCTTATGTCGGCCCCACCCACTTCGCCTCTGGCACATGGGTCGGCGTTGAACTAGACGCGCCAACTGGTTACTACTTTAATAAATATAACTAAAAATATATTTAAATAAAACAATGATAACGGTTAAAACGCGAAATAAATTGTTTAACATAATATATGACTAATATACATTCATAATATAGGTCATATAAGTAGTCCAGTAATATGTAACCACTAAAATATTTCGCATTTTAAACCGTTAGGTGTCTTTTAAATGTCCAAATTAAAAAAATAAACGAATCGACTATAGACAATACGAAATATATTTTAATAAATGCATTGCGCATATATTGATTTGAAGTTCATATATGTTGCCTATGAATTGATTGAATGTATATTAATATTACTGACTGTTATCGAGAAGGATTATCCTTCTGCAGATTTGAATAACAGTGGATTTTATTTGTTAGGTCAATTGTTAAAGAATTATATAATTGTGAAATAGAATCAAGTAAAATGTTAATATATATACATATCTGTGATGTAAATTTCCAGGTAAAAATGACGGATCCGTAGGTGGGACCCGTTATTTCGAGTGCCGCGCACGCCACGGCATCTTCGTCCGTGGCGACAAGCTGATACAGGATCGGCGCGGGCGCAGCGCCAGAGCTTTCCGTGAAAACGAACTGAAGCGTGCGACTAGCAAAGGTACCATTATTAATGCAATTTAATTTGCGATCTAAAACATTACTATTTTAAATAAAACACTTCAAGGGTTTTAAACGTGCAAAGCATCCGAAACGTCGGGCCGTGGTTTAATTTTTATTTAAATAAGTTTAACTAATAGATATCACGTTTTGCACCGCTAGTGTTTTATTACTTTCGTAATTTGTACTACTCTCGTAAACTACAGGCCTCATTTACATTATTATTTTTTATTCATTAATTTACTGTTTGTCAAAGGTGAGGGCCTACATAACCTGCACAGATCTAGGAGTCGCGGCGACAGCATAAACGCCGTCGGCACCAAGACTAGAAGCAAATAAGTTTACACTCTACGTGTACGTGTTTATATGCGTATGTACCGTCAGCAGCAATGTACCGGACCGAATTCACGACACGTCCACACTTCGAGTCCAATTCCACTTTATGTTGCATACTTGTGACGCTATGGTGCTTGTATCTGTATATTTCGTTTATATTATGCAATACTATATAGTAACTGTCTTATCGCGTAATAAGATTTATATTATTTGTTATTATTTGTTAGAAAGAGACACTCTTGTAGCTATCGTCAGGTTCGTTTTTAAAGACAAGATTTTATATATAGGGTGTGCTAATTATACATATCTAACTTTGTGAAAGATCACAAAGTATACAACATGTTAACCTTCTATCGTTCTGTATTCTTAGGACACCCTATGTATTTTTGAGACTTTATTATTAACCATTTCAACAAATTTAATGGAATACGTTTCTCGCTTCTATTGACCCGGTCAATGGAAGTTCGATGGACGCCTTTATTCCGCCGCTAAAGTTCGACATATAAAATCAATTCTATTAAGTTTAATTTAATGCATTTTAATCGTTGACCACGTTTGTAAATATACTGACATTGAACTATGTGATTTTATTTGTATCATTATATGTATGTAAATATGTGAATGTTTGCGTGTTTAATTAAATTATTTAAAGACCAATGAATTTTTGTGATCGAAGCGACCGATGTATTGTTTGTATAGAATTTTTTACTGTATAGTTTGTCGTATCATTATAAACATTTGTTTTTGAGCGCATCCGCTTTCTTTTGAAGCGCAATGACCGTGTCTAATAGGCAATATCAATGTGAAACGCATAATCTAATTTTAATATATCTTCAGAAGCTTTCCGATGTTTAAAAAAGTACCTAAATATACTAAGGTTTCGATATACTTTATTTTTTCAATGGATGGGACTTAATTTTTATGCATTTATAATCTTTTACTAACTTGAGAATGTTCACTAAAATAAAACTCGTCAGCGAGTTAGAAACGTGATTTATCGAGGAATAAGTTAATCTCGGACCTGAAGTAAAAACATGGACACGCGCTTTTTTTAACAGCCATAACAGGCGGTGTTAACTTGAAAATTAACTGCGTTTTAACTCGTTATTTTATTCAAATTTTTCCTGTTATTGCTCAGTTTTGTGTGTTAGGACACGATTGCCAATTTGTGATAGTTTCTTGCCACTTGCCTGAAGATATTTGTAATAATGATTTCTGGCCCTTTTATTTGTAATAAACGAAATCGTCCAAATTCACATCTACGTCCTCTCAAAGACTTGTACTTAGTACGCCATCGAGGCATCGCCGCGGACTCAATATTAAACCTGATCATTTTTCCCGGTGCAAGTGGTACAGCGATGATCTAAATGCACTTTTAAAACGCGTAATTTCATATTTAAACATAACTAAACGCTGATAAAATGTTTTGCGTATCTACGCTTGTTTCGCTTCGCTCGTCACTTGCACCACACATATATCGATTAGGGTTGTGTAGTTAATTTTTTTTAGAATGTAAAAAATGTTTGTAGACTGTATATTACATTCTTGTATTAAAGTATAGTCCTTGGATCATTATATCCATCCACAGAAACAATAATCAAAGTATATTGTTTTTTTCGAGTGTGGTAGCTATTGAGGGTAGTTTGGGGAATTATCTGAAAGCTATAGCGAGAGTAGCGAAACAGTAATCACGTTAGGGTATGTCCACATCGATTCGCTTCGCCGAAGCGGTATAGTGTTAGTTCACCTTATTGTATATTCCATCCTTTTAGTGATGTAATTGTTAAGTACACTTTATTGAGTACACAAATAGAGTAACGCCTCGTTATTTACTAGTGTTTTTAAAATTTCACTCTCAGCGTACATAGCCCGACACTTGCCTTCATTCAAAGCTGTATAATATATAGTAGAACTTTCGCCAAAGGGTCAAACACTCCCAAATCTAATGAAATTAGCTCAAACTCCATTCGTCCGGCACTCGCCTACTTTCCGGCCTAGACAATAATATTGTTTATCTATTCTATGTCATATAATTTTGCTAAGTGCATACGTGTGTGCATAACGTATGTGCATACGTTAGTTAAGTGCAAAACTCGACTGATGTCATAACTTATTATTCACACCGATTCAAAAGCTTACACTGTCGTACTTAAACATTCCATTTCGACATTATCAGATCGACACTAGCGTTAAGTTAGATTTTTTATAGACGGTTTGCGAATGTTTTTGCATTTTTACCAAATTTATTGTCAGGCCTCAACTAGGAAAGCTCAATGTGTAGTCGAAGTAATCGTTCGAGTCCTTTCAAAATATAGTAGGATGTGTCTTTGAAATTCTCGATGTGCTTTTGTCCAGTAGTTTTGGTAGTAATCGGGCAATGAGGGAAATATGGGCGAACCCGTTTTTGATTCGCGCTGGATCATACAAATTATATTAATAAAATGTTAACTATACGTCATTCTTTCTTTCAAACTATTCTCGACAATTAAACGCTTAATTTCTTTGTATATCAGAAGAAATTCTTTGCGTAAGTAAAATCAAACTGGGCTAAATTACAGTAAAGCAATTTTCACTATATTATTAACGGACTGCCTAGACCGGCTGGGTTAGGTGGCAGTTCTTTTCCTAATTATAGCGGATAAAGCGTGAATCAAAAATGGGCTATAAAAGGCAATAAGGTATAGCTGAGATTATAAATAAAAACCAATTGCTGACTTACCAATAAATTTGTCACTAAAGGGAATACAGACAATGACAAGTTTATCAGTAAGCCAGTTGGAGTATGCACTAGGGCTCCTAGGTTTAGGCTAATAGCGACCTGGACGTCTCTTAGGTCCTAATTTATTTTAAATAGAACTAAGATGACAACGTGCTGTGCTTTCGTTTTAAATTGTAGTTAAATTTAATTTGTTTTTTAGTTTAATTTGTATTTATTGCATCGACATGAGCTTAAATATGTTGTATTATTTTCTTATTCGACATTATTTTTTAGTAGCGACGGTTGAGTTGCCAGTTATAGTAATTGTCTATAATAATTATAGACAAGACAAATATTGTATTCCGATTTCATTTTTATGTGATAAGCTATAGATTAGGCGGCTACTTGGTAGCATAGGTGGTTGCATAATATTCATTATTGTAAACAAGAGATTAATATTTAAAATACAAATAGTTCACTTCTAGTGGAAATATTTTTGCCAAGTAGCAAATTTGAGTCAACCATCGCTGTCATTATCAATAAATGTATGAAATTCTGAGTTTTCGTTTTTATTCCTTCTCCCGATTTGTAGAATTGGCATGCTGGGTTTAATTTAGTGAACCGTTTCGCATCATGCTTGTTTTAGATAATATGGCTGGTTAATAAATGTTGCCATTAGATAGACTACTCTTTATATACATTAATAGAGTCATTGAAGAATAATATCAATTTTTCAGTGATAAAAATGTGCTATCTGATCCAAAAAAAGACAGCCATATGCCAAAACAGTAAATAATATTTGCACGCGAGAGTTCGTACATTGTGATATAACGTATTTTTTAATTCATACACTTACAGCGATTGCTATAAATATTGGTAATAAGTCACTGGTACTCCCGAGCGTTCAATGTAGATTATTTAATTTGATTTGCGTGTAACTGGAGAATATAGATAGATATAAAATCATTAGGTTTAGAATTTTTCTTGTTTTTTTCTCACCGATCTTTAGATAAATGGAGTTAGCTAAAATCCAGGTGTTTTGTGAACGTTAATTCAGTTCCAACTCAAGAATATTTAATTCACAGTTTTCAAACAAATCGCGGTTCGCTCATGACTTAAAATTATGTTCGTATAGCGACAGTTGACCTTATTCGCGACGTCGCGAGTGTCATCTCGCTGGTGGTTAGGGCGGAGCGGAAGGCGCCTGGTACCCGCTCATACTCGTAAAGAATGTACCGTTATCAAAAAACGCTCTAGAAACATGAGGTTGTTTTCTATCTATTACCATGGCTCGATAAGGGAAATAGATAGACAATATAAACTTGACTTACAATTGAATTTGAGACGGAATCAAACCTCTTAAACGTTACGATTTCCAATATAACAACTACATTTAAAATGCTATCAGAATTAGATATTTGTATGTTGTTTTTGTCTTATCAATTATAAAGACGATTTCGGAGCGATTTCAAATGTTTTTATATCCCTTAGAACCTACAGAATGATTACATTTTTGTGTACACTTGTAGCATTTTATACAAACTGAAAATTAAAATATTGATTCGACTACAAAATGATTTTATTTCTCCATATTTGCATATAAGGTACCGTCCAAATTTGTATGTCTAAATTTATTGATGAAATCAGTAAGGTTGAAAAAACTCGATGATAAGGTATGACTTAAGATCAGTTGGTGACAATAAAAACAAAGTAACAGTCATCAATAATTTTCCATCTGAATAGATTTTTTATTCTAGGAAGACGATAATCCTTGCAACATTTTTGCACACCCTACCTGCGCTCTATTTTTGTAAAGCTAACTCGTTACAAAGGAGACATCGTTCCATAATGACCTGCTATTCGATTTGCGTGACTTGGCATTTGCCTGGCTCCTTCTTTACCTCTGCGTCTTCAATAAGTTCTCTGACAGTGAACGGAAAGTACCATCCAGGTCTTTCACTTCTTGAATCCTTTGTCTTAATAAATATGAGGATATAGCTATCATCATGGACCAGCCAGGTCCATCCAGCACCAACCAAGATCCACGATTCGATTTCATTGGTTCGTACGCTGTGAAATCCTTAAAATTGAAACCAGAAAAATGGATGCGAGTCTTAAGTATAGAAGAGCATCGGTCCACTCTAAGAGATTTCGTGGACAAACCTTTGCCTCTGCTTCTTGTAGTAGTTTTGACACACGCAGCACAATTGGTACCAGTCATCACGTTCCCTTGTTACTTGAAAAATAAAGCTGTCTATTTCGTTAAAAAGAGGCCGGCAGTTGTACCAAAGGAGAGATGTTATGAAATGGTAATTTTTGGTAAGTAGCGAAAACTAAATTATTGTTAATATACAATTACCAAACGTTCAAAGACTTCAATTGATTATAGGCCGATGCTAGCCTTGTTTTGCTAGGTCTTATTCAACAAAGACATTAGAAGGAACAAGGGGATAACACGTTATTTCCAAATGTTTTTTTTTGCCTACATTGGAAATAAATATATTCATTTTATTAGGCGATCTAGCACCAAGACTAATAGATGAACTAGCTGCCTTAGTCGATGAAGTGTTTGTCCCACTGCTTTCAAATCCCTCGAACCACGAAGGGTGGCCGCGCGTCGTCTCTCAAGATATTTTGAAGCAGATACACAATTTGAAAAGCACTGTTTATGAGGTAAGTATTTCAGACTACAGTTTAGATACTCCGTAAATAATATTGAATTTTATTTATAATTAACTACCGCAGTAAAAAAATAATGTATTTTCAATAATCAATTATCACTGAGTACTGTTTATTAAAAATTTAAGGTAAAAGGTAAAGTTAGTGGACAAACAGTGCTACCTATGCCAGTAGGTGTCGAACTTGTTCACGAAGCGGAAAAAGAAATGTTAATGGGTAAAGAAGTTGATTTGTACTTAAAAAGCGCTATAGAAGGGGTGGTGATAAAGTGGGCACAGCAGATTAATGACGTCATGATGGAGGATTCCGCGCAAGCGTTCGATAATGGACAAAATCCACAACCTAATGTTGGTATGTTTCACTTCTATATATCAAACATGAAAAAAGTCATTAAATAGGATATTAAACATATTGACTTTAAGATTAGACCATCTAATAAAAAATTTAAACATCTAAAAAATGTGAGAAGTGTAGATACAGTTTGTTAATTACCTACTATTAATAATTAACTAAAAATAATTACTTGAGATAGCACAATTTGCTTAAAGTCAATTTACTGTTCACATCTTGTTTGTTTAATAATAATGAATAAAATAAACCACTTTATTCAGAACTTGCGTTTTGGAGATCAAGATTGAGCAATCTTAATTACATTTACGACCAACTACGAATGGAGAGAGTAAGGTGTATGGCCGTTATATTAGAGAAAACAAATTCTGCATACTATCCCTGCTTTAGTAGATTGTTTAAAAATATTGTATCAGGTATTTATTTCTCTAAGAAGATATCAGAATGTACTCGATCGTAAGATATAAATATAACCATTTTCTTCGTTATTTTACCATACAGCGTTAGCGGAGGCTCGAGAAATTGATATGTACTTAAGAACACTAGAAAAGCACTTTCAAGCGTTAGAAGATACGGATTTCACGGAATGTCAACCATTGTTTCGACCACTCTTTCATGTTATATGTATGGTGTGGCGTGATTCTAAATATTATTGCAGTTCGTCCAAATTGATGGTTTTGATTAAGCAGATTTGCAACTTACTCATTTTCCAGGTAACATATTTAACAAAGTACTATCGTTTGCAGTTGAAATACATTTTTGAATTGGAAACGTTATATTTTTAGGCCAAAAAGTGCTTGGACCCCAGCACACTTTTTCACAGCGACATCGATGAGGCAAGGCAAAGGATACAAATAACAATTGACATATTAAAAGCGTTTCGAAAAACATTTGATTACTTTAAAGAAAATTTGCCTAAATACTTCGAAAATAGAGTTTTACTGCTGTGGACGTTTCATCCTAACGTCGTGTTTGAAAGGATGAACAAATTCTTAGAAAGACTGAACACAATCCAATGGTTTTTCAAGACGGTGTTAGAGTTTCAAAAGTTGGAAAAGATTGAAATCGGAGGAATGAAAGGTCGTGTGTTAGGCGGACAAATAAGAGAAATTTCTGCAGAATTTGAGTCGTATTTTCACAGCTTCGCATCTAAATCCTATGACGTCCTCGATCCCGATGACGAAAGGTTCAACGAAGATTTTAAGGAGTTTCAAGACAATATTGTCGATTTAGATCTAAAATTATCAACAGTTCTAGTCGAGTCGTTTGATAATTGTACCACATTAGAAGCCATATTTAAAGTAAGTGAATTTTCTAAAACTATAATACACTTAAATCGGGGTTTATAAGAACTTCATTTTTCAGTTGATTGATATAGTAGGTTCTGTTCTTGATAGACCACTTATCAAAAATGAATTTACTGCGAAATATGTGGAGATCATCGTAATGCTAGGAAAGGAACTCAGTATTTGTGAGGTAAGTGTGACACTTATAGGCCACTCTGCTTCAAGCAGCCTCATATAATGTCGAATAAAGCGAGTTTGGAAGGTGTTTTCACGTGTTTGTTATTTTTGTACAGGATCTATTCACAGAACAAAGCAACCGTCTGAAGAAGTATGGACATATGGAAATAGATGCTTTCTTTCCGCCGATTTCTGGAGGACTTCTGTATATGACCATGCTAGCTACAAGGATATCCAAGCCTATAGCTAGCTTTCGCAATTTGCCGCACCCGTAAGTTAACTGGGTGGGGCAAATTGCGAACGCTGATTATTCGGCTTTTATTCGTCTAATATTTAAAAATTGCTTATATACTCACTCCAATGGCGCAGTTACCAAGAGTAAGCCTCTAGAGCAGGACATTACTAATTCAAAAATAAGTAACCAAGATGTCAAAGGTCTGGATGTATGTGGATGGTATAATAATAAGGCTGTAGTTTCCAACAAAATGCAATATAATAGATGATCACTTTCCAATAGGATTTGATAAGCTTCATGAGGCGTTTATAGGAGACCCTAGCCTTAAATATTTTTATTTCATTTAGGATAAAAGGCTGCAGTGACGCTGTTAAACTTTTTGAGAGATATGAGAAACTGATAGAAGAAATAAACGCTTTTAAAAGGAAGTATTTTAACGACTGGTCTGTGACTATTCCAAAGGTTTTGGAAGAAAAATCAAACAATCCAATCATAACAAGACAAGGACCGGATCTCATTCTAAATTTTAGTTCAGAAGTAAATAATACTTAAATAACAGACAACCTTATTAGTTACAAATAGCTTTTTTTTATTATTGCTTACAAATTACTTTTAGCTGTTAGACGTTATGAAAGAAGTACACCACCTCAGATCGAATCCTGAAATGGCGAAGGATTTGCCGAAGGAAAGTCTAGATCTATTTGAAAAACAAGAAACATATCGTCAATATAGAATCAACTTGGGTATAACTATCGACTGGTATAATCAAATACATAAAAATAGTCAAAAAGTTGAATTTGACTTAGTTGAGGACGAGATAAAAGCGATAGACCAAAGAATTGAAATGGCACAACACCAACTCAACTGGAATTCGGGTGGTATGTTACTCTCTAAATACGTAGATTCATTTTTTCATAGGAGTAAACCGCTCGGTCGGTCTGGTCAGGTCGGAGTAAATCGAGTCGGTCCATCTCGTTTCCGATTGCAGTATTCAATAATTCAACTTATATACATTTAACTTATTACATTGTTTTTAATAACGGACGATATTTTAAGTTGATATATTACATTTTAGACTTATGGGCCTATCTACAAGAACTGCACAAATTAGTTGGGAGTCTCTATGATCGCATGTCAAAAATACAAGATAACCTTAAAGAAATTAAAGCCATTATGAAAACCTGGACTTTACAACCGTTATTTGAACGAAAAGAAGGCAAGAAGGTACATTACTTCCATGTATTTTAGAGTACATACAGATTTTGTTGTTTCACAGACATTTACAAGCAATTACATTGTTTAGGATACTTTAATGAACTTAGAAGATCGCAAAGAACGCACGACTAAAAGATACCAAGATATTAAAATGACAGCAGAACGAATCCAAACACTCTTGAACGAAAATATGCAGTTGTTTAGTATGCAAGAGAATCAAGAAAGTGAAATATGGCTAGCATACGTTGCTTTCATTGACAATCTAATCGAAGAATCCTTATTTAAATCTATTGCGTGCAGGTACAACACTATTTCTTTGTTAATAATTAATACGCCAACAGAGAATAGCACGAAGTACTTATTTTAAATATACGTGCAGCACTATTTATTTTAACTTATAAATAAAATTTTTGTATTTATCATTAAAAAGCGGTTTTCAACGATCTAGAATCACACTATACTCGATCAAATATTGTCCTTTTTTTAATTAAATACCTTTTTCATATTTTCTTTCAGTATGGGTTACATATCGGAACATATGAACCCTAAAAATAAATTAGCCCCATTATTTGAAGCACAGTTAGAACTCTTGGATCCCGACATGGTATTCTCGCCAAGTTTAGAATCAAACAACGAAAAGGGTTTTACGGCTTTAATTAATCATCTTATAGACGACATTTTAAGAATGTCTACGTTAATAGATAGAGTTGATAAAATGAAGTCGGAAACATATTACGAGCAAATTGTTCAAAACAGTGATATAATAGAAATGAAGGAAGAAATTTTTGATGGCATTGAAAGGGTAAGTGCAATCAAATATTAAATTCAAAGTAAATATACGTAAACGTATGATACTCTAATGGTTGACAATAGTGATTAAGGGCAAAGCAAAAATATATGTAACAAGTAATAACAATTTCAGGTTATAGAAGAAGCGAATGAATTTTGTAAAACATTTGAGAACTATTCCTACCTATGGTTAGAAGAAAGAGATGCTATAATGGAGATTTTCCTGGAATATGGGAGAATATTGACTCCAGACGAAATCGATAAGATAGGCTCTGAAGACAAAGACGTACAACCACCAGTACCATGCCCTCCTAAGATGGAAGCCTTCCGAGAACAAATAGATCACTATGAAAATCTTTATATGGATATTGAGGATATGGAATCCTACAAAGTATTCAACTCTTGGTTTCAGGTATATATCTAAAGCTAACTAACGGCATCGTCAAAATTCTGTTAGTTAAAATCGTTCCTATTACAGACCAAATATATCCTTATAGTGTTAGTAAAATGCAAAAGTATGTAACATTGTTAGTCCAAAGGATGTGTTTTCTAAAGAGATGTTGCCACTTCTCCACATTCGGAATGATGATGATAAAAGTAGCTAAAGCTTGAATAATTTTAGGTGGATGTTAGACCATTTAGACAAGCTTTATTGAATACCGTCCGCAAATGGGGTAATATGTATAAAGAACATTTAGTCGAAAATGTTACATCAAGTTTAAGTGATTTGGGCAACTTTATTCGTGAAGCAGATGAAGGTATGCTTAAGTTTGCGAAAAATAAACACTTATTCGAACAAGTAGGTAATGAAATTACGTAGGTTGCATATGTAGGTAGTAGTAGTAACAGTTGCATGGAATTCTGTGGTTATGGGGTCTGTCCCATTCGTATTATAATATTTTTTATAATATTGAATGTCTACGACTTCAAAAGAACACCAGTCGTAGGCGAATTAATTAACAATTAACTGCGTGTCAGTTCATTAAAATAAGTTTTACTTTAAGGCTTGTACCAGCGTAAACTTAAAATAATATTTAAGTAAATTATTACTTAAACAACGAAAACATAATATATTTAAATTAATCACAGGTTTACTTCAACCGGTACCTGAAGGAGATTATGAAGCTTTAGTAACCGTGATGGGTTACCTAATGAATGTAAAAGAACGAGCAGTAACAACCGATGACATGTTTCAACCACTTACTGAAACTATTGAGCTACTAAAGTTCTACGACATGGACATTCCTGAAGAAGTCAACGTTTTACTTCAAGTGCGTATTATATATTTACAAAAGAACGAAAATCTACATAGCAGTAATTCTTAACAAATGTAAAATTATGTAAATGAAAATATAGACTTATCTTGTTCAAAGATCGAATTTTACGTGAGGCTCCTCATCCAGATTTTCATAATAATCTAGTTATTTTATTCTCCTCCACTCTTAATTTGGTTGTATCGTCCATTTTACTAATTTGTTTGTTATGTGTTTATTTAGATTCTTATTTTATTGATAAGTCAAGCAATAGCATCATTGATCCCATAATTTAACAATTCAGTTTTGTTTTAAATATTATTAAAATAAATGTTATATATCTAGGAACTACCAGAACAATGGCAAGCCACTAAAAAGTTGGCGTTGACAGTGAAACAGCAAGTTGCTCCATTACAGGCAGCTGAAGTTTCTTGCATCAGAAAAAAGATAACAACATTTGACTCCCACGTAATTTACTACCGCGAGGTTTTCAAGAAATATGAAGTAAGCAGTTACAAATATTTATTTTCAAGTAACACGATTCAAGATGTTTCAAAATATTCTTTGTTATAGTTTTTCAAATATGAATGTGATGATCCGTACGCTGTTATGTCGAGAGTGGATAAAGAAATGTTGAATTTGGAAGACGAAATGAAAAGCATTCAAGACTCAGGGTCGCTGTTCGAAGTGAACGTGCCAGAATTTAAGCTACTGAAACAATGTAGAAAAGAGCTACGAATGCTGAAGGTAACAAAGGCAAACGTAATAATCGTTCAATAATCTCAACTATTCCTAAGGAATTTTTAACTTTAATGAGATTTTTTCTCATTTTAATAAATCACTTTAAGGGTTTAAAACGCGATATATTTTAGTTAAACTTGTTTGAAAATGATTTTATCTACAGCCCGACGTTCCGGATGCTTTGCATCAGCCGTGTTTAAAATAATTTTCAAACATAAAAACTAAAAAATATCGCTTTTTAAACCCTTAAACTGTTTTATTTAAGTGTGTACTGCTCATTTAAACTACAGACACGATTTTGATTTTTTCTCTTTCAGCAACTTTGGGACTACGTCTATATAGTCCGAACAAGTATTGAGGACTGGAAGACAACGCCTTGGCGAAAAATTGACGTAGAAAATATGGATATTGAGTGTAAGAAATTCGCTAAGGAAATTCGACTGCTCGATAAGGAAATGAGAAGGTATTTCAAAGTGATCATATAATTATTGTTATACTTATTAGCAACAGAAGAAGAATGTTTCTTATCCGAACGATTGTATTTCATGTGCAAGCAAGCAAAACATTTCTTTTTAACTAACTTTTAGAGGTTTAAAACTCGGTTTACTGTTCGGTTGAAAGAAACTCTAAGAACCCAGTTAGTTTCCAATTAGTAATGCCACTTACAAGAACACAGATGGCGCTAGCTTCAGACAATAAAATAACAGTTATGTAAGAGACAAAAATCTATAATTGATAATTATTTAATGATTTTAAAATGCTATATGTGTTTCAACATATGTGTAAAGTTTATTGAAACTTGAATGTTTTAGAAATAAACCTATTCTTGAAAACAATTATAAGGTATATAATTGAATAATTGATAATTTTAGTTGGGATACATACATAAACCTCGAAGCTACCGTAAAAAATATGCTTACATCTTTGAGAGCAGTTGGGGAACTACAGAATCCTGCTATAAGGGAAAGACATTGGGATCAATTGATGAAAACGACAAAGGTAAAACATTATCGGACACAGCTGGTAATGTAAATAAGGACAACATGTATGTGATTATGTTGTAAATAATAATTCTGTAAATATAAAATAAAAATATGATGCATGTGATAAATTTATTTATAAATACGGAGGAAATATGCATGCTGTTTGACTTGTTATTGAATGTAGCATGATTTTAAATGTTATGAGAATTTGCAATGCTTTAAAATGTTTTTTTCACGATAAAAGGACAGACAAGCTTCAGGGTCACTTGAAGGTAGGTGAAATACCCCAGTCCTATGAAAGAAGGTATGTTGTCGCCCTATTTTGGCTTTGGATATTGAGATTCTGATTGTCTTGTAAATACTTTGCATCGTGGTGTGATTGCGAATGTTTTGAGAATGTAAATATGTTTATGCTTCACAGAGCTTAGCTGCATTGCCACCCGAAGTCACTGTGAGTATGAAATTGTGATTTCTCTTGTAAATATTGGTGTGTACCGGGCATTTTATAAAAGTCCACGCTTATGTGTGTGCACAAGAATATATATTGAAGCCAGAAACGCCGGTAATCAATTCACCTTTTCCTAATTCATTTTAGATCTTAAATGTTTAAATCTTATAGGTAAGAATAGTTATGGATACAAACACAACATTAGCAGATTTACTTGCGTTAAATCTACACGAATTCGAAGAGGAAGTTAAAAATATCGTCGATAAGGCTGTCAAAGAGATGTCAATGGAGAAGATACTTAAAGACTTGAACACGACTTGGAGTCAGATGGAGTTTGAACAAGAGGTTCATGCGAGAACTGGTTGTATCTTATTGAGGGCTAGTGAAGAGCTTATTGAAACACTGGAAGAGAACCAGGTATGATATTAAACTTATACATTTTTGTAAAGCCTTCTTGATTTTCTATATAAATATTTGTTTATGAACTTACATAATAGTTAGACGATTGATGCTATATGATTGCTAGTCCAAGCAAATAACGTAATTTAATTTACTACATACTACTACGAGTAGGACTCGGTAGCTCAATTGGTAGAGCAACAGCACTGAACGCTGACGATCCGGTTCAAGTCATGCCCGATTCGAAAATTTTTAAAATTGTATAGTTCCTTCATGTGCAATAACATGTAAAAAATAATAAAGTTTAACAGTTTTAAAACGTAATATAAGTTATATCTTTAATATAAATATCATAAGATCGTTCACACTTTGTAATTTTTGTCATACATGATCAATACTAACCTACGTGAAAATTATTTTTAGGTGCAGTTACAAAACTTGATAACATCAAAGTTTATAGCGCATTTCTTAGAAGAAGTCTCGAGTTGGCAGCAAAAACTGTCAATAGCGGACCAGGTCATAACAGTTTGGTTTGAGGTTCAAAGGACATGGACGCATTTGGAGAGCATTTTCATGAGCTCCGAAGATATACGAAAGCAACTGCCCGAAGATTCAGAGAGATTTGATAGGATCGACGCTGAGTTCAAAGTAAGTGTTGCTGAGTTCAAATGTACACCCAAATAAAAATGTTAAAAAGGTGATAAATGAGTTCTTATTATTAAAATTTAATACGTCTCAAACTAAACGACAAATTTTATTTTAATCATATGTATACTTACGGCAGATGTTACCTATCTAGTAATAAGGAGTAAAGTGAAAAGATTTATTTGGGTCTAGGTTTTCGTCATAATTCTATAAAACTAATATATTTTTAATATAGCTTTGTAGTGTTGCTAAAAAGTAAATTATGTTTACAGGTTTTATCAAAAGACATGTCTAAAACTCCAAATGTAGTAAAGGGAACCAATAAAGAAGGACTAGTAGCGATTTTGGACAGTCTACAAACTGACCTGATTATATGTGAAAAGGCTTTGGCCGAATATCTGGAGACGAAACGACTTGCGTTTCCTAGATTTTACTTTGTGTCGTCAGCGGATTTATTGGATATATTATCTAATGGAAATCAAGCTGAACTGGTAATAAGGTTAGTAAAAAGGTCTTCTAGCTTTGTATATTGCTTCAAATCTATTTTACGTATATAAACTGTGATACATACGACACATGTGATACAGACGTGATATATACGAAAGTGTTTTATATTATTAACTTCTAAGTAAATGTTTCTTATTATTTTCGGGTTCTCAAACTACTCTCGCCAATAATGTCATAAAAAGCGTGGTTAAGCTTAAGTGGCAGAAATATCAAGAATATATACTTACTTTATTTTAATTTCAGGCACTTGACGAAGTTATTCGATTCTATAGCAAAACTCAAGTTTGGAGACAACGATAAACCTGAAGAAAAAATCGCAGCTGGAATGATAGCGAAGGATGGCGAATATGTCCCCTTTCATGGATCGTGTGACTGTAGTGGTCCAGTTAGTAGACAATAACAAATGGGAATGGATGGGAAAATGGGAGATATAGTTTTGTATTTGAGTCACTGATCGTATTTATATAAAACCCTTTATAGGTTTAAAATGCGATATACATTATTTAAACTTATTTGAAAATTATTTTAAATACGGCCCGACGTTTCCGATGCAGCAGCAGTGGTTACGGGCAGACTTAAATGTGTACTACTCGCTTAAACTACAGAGAGTATTTAATTTATCATTTATTGCCCTAGCCTTTCTCCTTTATAAAGATAGATTGGTAAATAATAACACTAACTATTGCTATGATAATAAATTAAAAGTACCTGCTGACCACGATATTCCGGACTTTGAACTTAATGACTTCTCGTACTTACTACAATGCGTTTACAACTTACCAATTTAGATAATACAGAGATTAAACAGCATTTTTTATTTTAGGTCGAAATATGGTTGAACCGTTTACAAGACATAATGCGATCAACAATACGCCAGTATTTCAGTGAAGCGATCGTATCGTATGAAGAAAAACCAAGAGAACAGTGGTTATTCGATTACATGGCGCAGGTATCTCTATGCTGCTCACAAATCTGGTGGACCACAGAAGTGAATTTGGCCTTCGCAAGACTAGAAGAAGGTTATGACAACGCGCTCAAAGACTATTACAAGAAACAGCTCTCGCAATTAAGTACATTAATCACTTTATTGATAGGTGAGCTAAGTAAACAGGATCGTCAGAAAATCATGACGATTTGCACAATAGATGTGCATTCTAGAGACGTTGTTAGTAAATTGATACAAGGTAAAGTGGAAGCTGGATCGGCGTTTCAGTGGCAATCGCAGCTGAGACACAGGTAACTATTACAATAATTATGTATTTAAACAAAGCTAAACAAATATATTTAACGCAAATTGATGTCATAAGACATTGAACTTCAAGTCCTAAGCGTTAAAGTTGAAATTACATTGAGTGCATGTATTGAATAAATTCGACGGTGACGTAGGACACGCTAGATCAATTGGTTAGAGCAGGAGCACGAAACGTTTTGGATGTCGGTTCAAGTCCCGCCCGTGTAGAATTTTTGTTTTAACCTTAATAGATTTTTAATTTATAAAATGTTATGTTGTTTTTATCTTCCCATGTTTATCAAACTGTAATAGTTTCTTAACCTAATCAACTAGATACTTATATGATAATGTTCTTGTATTTATTATTTGTATATTTCGTGTGTCATTTAATATGTAATATTAAAACTTAAATAAATTTAAATTGTTTTTGGAGATCCACGTGTCCGTACTATTTTACTACGTAACATTTTAAAAATTATTTCAATAATTATATGGTTTTTTAACTTTATAGATGGGACGACAAGGAATTGCACTGCTTCGCCAACATCTGTGACGCACAATTCAAGTACAGTTACGAGTACTTAGGAAATACTCCCAGATTAGTTATTACTCCTCTCACTGACCGTTGCTATATTACGTTGACTCAATCCTTGCATCTTATAATGGGAGGCGGTCCAGCTGGTCCGGCAGGTACTGGAAAAACGGAAACAACTAAAGATTTGGGAAGGGCGCTGGGTATAATGGTATATGTATTTAACTGTTCTGAACAAATGGATTACCAAGTAAGTTTTCTTATTTTTTTACAAGATTTTTTTGTCTATGATAGAACAGATAAGCTTGGGGTTCATTTGGTGGTGAAATGCTTCAGCCATATCTTAATAAGATTCACAAGATTTTGGCTCAAGATATTCAAGTCGATATTCATAGTTCTCAAGTGAAAAAGCCGTAAAGGGCTTTTTCACTTGAGAACGATGATTTGTGACCCCAACGGAATGATTTTTCACCCGTTTAATATCCAGACTTCCAGACAAATTACAACATGTTCCAAAAACATTATAAATTATTAGATATATCATCAGCCTGAAACCAATGACCCATACATGACGGGCCCGCCAAAGAAAGTGCGTAGTAAAACTTTTTTTACACTGTATTTTGATATTCCAGTCTTGTGGCAATATTTATAAAGGACTTGCTCAGACAGGAGCTTGGGGTTGTTTTGATGAGTTCAATAGAATCTCGGTTGAAGTATTATCTGTTGTCGCTGTGCAAGTGAAATCAGTACAAGATGCTATAAGGTATACATATAATTGAGCAGATAGCATTATTAGTTTTGTAATTACTATTAAGTACTTTAAAAGTATATATAGAAGACCAAAAAAGATACCCTTATGTTTTAATGGAATTACCTTAAAAAGGTTACCTGTTGATAACTATCATTTTATGTTCCAGAGACAAGAAAGAAAAATTTAACTTCATGGGAGAAATGATAGTGTTAGTTCCATCCGTTGGCATATTTATAACAATGAACCCAGGCTACGCTGGAAGAACGGAGTTACCCGAAAACTTGAAAGCTCTTTTCCGACCTTGCGCAATGGTCGTTCCTGACTTTGAATTGATTTGCGAGATAATGTTAGTTGCGGAAGGCTTTCAGGAGGCTAAAATATTGGCTAGGAAGTTTATTACACTTTATACTCTGTGCAAGGAGTTGCTGTCAAAGCAAGATCATTACGACTGGGGTTTGAGAGCCATTAAATCCGTCTTAGTAGTAGCTGGTTCATTAAAGGTACTACTAACATTTTTTTTTGTATTTCCACTCTCTCGTACTAATGAGTTATTTTTCTAGAGAGGCGATCCAGGCAGACCAGAAGAAGAAGTGTTAATGAGGACACTGCGAGATTTCAACATCCCAAAGATAGTCACAGATGATATGCCAGTTTTTATGGGTCTCATTGGTGATCTGTTCCCTGCGCTAGAAGTTCCAAGAAAAAGGGACTTAGAATTTGAAAGAACAGTTAAACAGGCCGCAATGGACTTACTCCTACAACCTGAAGATAATTTTATACTTAAAGTAGTTCAACTGGAAGAACTGCTCGAAGTTCGTCATTCAGTATTCATAGTTGGCAATGCGGGCACTGGTAAAACTCAAGTGTGGAAAACATTGTTTAAAACATACCAAAACCTCAAAAAGAAACCGATTTACACCGATTTGAATCCAAAAGCCGTAACGAACGATGAACTTTTTGGTATTATAAATCCGGCAACAAGGGAATGGAAAGATGGATTATTTTCAGTCATAATGAGAGACCAGGCTAATATTGTAGGTGAAAATCCAAAATGGATTGTGTTAGATGGCGATATCGATCCCATGTGGATAGAATCGTTAAATACTGTTATGGACGATAATAAAATTCTTACTTTAGCTAGTAATGAGAGAATTGCTTTAACACCTAGCATGCGGTTAATGTTTGAAATATCAAATCTCAGAACAGCAACGCCTGCCACTGTGTCTCGAGCTGGGATATTGTATATTAATCCGCAAGATTTAGGATGGAATCCGTATGTGCATACAAGATATTTATTTTTATTTTTTTATTTTTTTTTATAACCATACATCTCATGATTAAGTCAGCAGTATACAACATATACGTTTTTATATATTTACTAAACTGTCTTGCTATATCTATAATTGTTAAATTCTGCATATTACATTCATTCTATTCTCGCAATGTTCATGTATATGTAATTTTCTTTATTTAAAATGTATATGTTTTTGGCAATTTACAGTTATGTGACTAGTTGGATTGAAACGCGAAAAATACCAGCAGAGAAATCGAATCTAGTCATTCTTTGCGACAAATATATTCCTCCGTGTTTGGAAACAGTAAGGAATCGCTTCAAGAAGATAACACCGATTGCTGACATGGCCCATATACAAATGCTATGTCATTTGTTGAATTGCTTACTGGTACCAGAAAACACTCCACCCGACTGTTCAAAGGATTGGCATGATATTTTCTTTGTGTTTGCCTGTGTTTGGGCATTTGGATCTGCTATGTTTCAAGACACTAATGTAGACTACAGAGTTGGTGAGAAATGATTGGACTTATATTATGTTGTTGATCTGCCCACCAATTCATAAATATTGCATTGTTTATTCACGTTAGGTATATTATATCTTTTGAAGAAAATGTTTCCGTCCATTGTAAATGTATGTATTATATTTATAGAAATGCAAAATCATAGTTAGTTATTATTCTTTGTTTATGCAGAGTTTTCCAAGTGGTGGTTGAATGAATTTAAGACAGTGAAATTTCCACCTGGTGGGACCGTCTTCGATTATTACATAGATCACGAAACTAAGCAATTTACTCCGTGGACAGAAAAAATAACCAAGTTTGAGTTGGACACCGATATTCCTTTACAGGTATTACAATTTCCTAAATCTATACTAATATATAAAGCTGAATGTTTGTTTGTTTGTTTGTTTATAACGCGTTAATCTTAGGAACTACTGGTTCGAATTGAAAAATTATTTTGTATTAGAAAATTTATCAAGGAAGGCTATAAAACAGACAAGCTGTGGCTAATAGGAGCGAAGAAACAGCGAGAAATGTGATATAAAACGGGAGAACATTTTCATCTCTGTGGCTTTCCGATGCGTACGCTGCGAAAACTATTAAAGATACCCAAAAAAAATGTATGAAAGGATGATCTCTTTTTAAATAATCTAAAAAATGTGCACGATACTATATGTCTTACCTTGAAGATTAACTTGAAGAAGACGTCAGAGTGGACGCGTCCGATGTCGGTGTCGGATAGCAATTTGAATTTATAAAATAAGGTGGTGCCAAATTTGGATGCCCAAAATAACTATTCTTTGCAGACGAAGTCGCTGACATAGCTAGTTATAAAATAAAATACCACTTGCCATGATATTAAATCATCAAGATCTGGACCAGTTGTTAAACATAAATATATATTTTTTTGCAGGCTGTACTCGTTCCTACCGCAGATACCATAAGAGTTCGATTCTTCTTAGACTTGTTGATGAAGAATAAGCACCCGGTGATGTTAGTTGGAGGAGCTGGATGTGGAAAGACGGTTCTTGTTAATGAAAAATTACAGAGGTACAATTCCATTATTGTAACAAAACATGAAATTTTCCTGATTCTAATCATATTACTAATAAACAATAAATAGAATATATATATTAAGGTCATCTTTTAGTCTTCCAGAAAACTACGCGATCCAGTCAATTCCATTCAACTTCTACACCACATCGGAAATGCTACAGAAGATTTTGGAAAAGCCACTAGAAAAGAAAGCTGGCCGAAACTACGGACCTCCCGGAAATAAAACCCTAATTTACTTCATCGACGATATGAATATGCCAGAAGTGGATGCATATGGAACAGTCCAACCACATACCATCATACGTCAGCACCTAGACTATAACCATTGGTACGATCGGACCAAATTGACCCTCAAAGACATTCATAACACGCAATATGTGTCTTGCATGAATCCCACTTCTGGTAGTTTTACGATTAACCCAAGGTTGCAGAGGCATTTCTGCGTGTTTGCTATTAGTTTTCCAAACACTGAAGCTTTGAATAACATCTATCATTCGATTCTGAGTCAGCACTTGGCTAACCCCGAGTTGAGGATTAGTGCCCAAATTGGTAAACTCTCGGGTAAGTTTTTAGAATAGTAGAACTCATGAAATTTCTTTTATAAATATGAGTGAACATTTTTTTATAAATAATACTTGATTATTTTTTTACATTCTGATTTTTCGAATTGATTCATACAAGCCGTGGTCACGGCGGATGGCTTTAGATATATTTCTAATTCTAAGCCGTTTTAACGTGTATCTAAGATCTATGTTCATAGATTGACAATGTATCTTTTGCCACTTCATCAAGTGTGTATCACAATATATAATCACAAATTACAAGTTTCTATTGCGTTTATATTAATTTGTTGTAGATCTAAAAATAGATTTAAAACAAAAAAAACTTCTAGATAGTCACTGTTTTTTTTTTATGTCTGTAATGTTGCCTTTATAATTTCAGCAAACGTTGTGAGCGCTACAATCGCGTTACACAATAAAGTGTCACAAGTCTTCCTACCAACGGCCATCAAATTTCATTATATTTTCAATTTGAGGGATTTGTCGAATGTGTTTCAGGTATTATTGCTTATTTCATTCAAGACCAATATTCCCCCAAAAAAAACAAACAAAAGAAAAATTATCAACATTAGAAGGTAATAGCCGACAGACAAAACGCGTAACGTAACGAAGCAATAGACAGATTAGCTTGCTAAGAAGAACTGCCCTTATTTCATACACTTTACAAGATAAATTCTAAGGAGTAATGTATACTTTTAAATAAAACACTTTAACGGTTTAAAACGCGATATATTAGTTAAACTCAAAGTTTAACTAATATATCGCGTGTTTTTATTTAAATGTGTTCTACTCGCGTAAACTATAGACAGTATTTAATTTATACTTTTTCAGGGCTTCTTGTTCAGTACGAATGAGTGCTTGGTGAACCCTTCAGATATAATAAGGTTGTGGTTGCATGAAACGCATAGAGTTTACGGTGACAAACTAACCGAAGATAAAGATATTGACGCTTTTTTGAAAATGCAAGTGGACTTGTGTAAGAAGAATTTCGAAGTAAGCCAATTCCATTTCGAGTACTTATTGCTCTTAGATTTTTTTTATAATTTTGAAATTTCAACAGTATGTAAACTTTTGTAAACTTGTTAAATTTTGAATTAAGCTTTGAAACCTAATTTCGTACGTTATTTTGGGGAAAAAAAAACCCCCCCTTCCCTTTTTAAAAAAAAAAAAAAAAAATTTAGTTTGAAAAAAAAAAAAGGGAAAAAATTTTTAAAATTTTAAAAGGGTTTGAAAAATCCATTCATATGGTACTTCTATATTGAATACATAATCTAAATAATACGTGACTATTGAAATTAAAATAGGGGTTTAAAACTAGATATACTGTTATGGACGACAATAAACCGCCGTGTTCGGTGACGTGGTCTCCCCGTGACCACGGCTGCTGCAAAGCATCCGAAACGTCGGGCCGAAGTTAAAAATCATTTTCAAATGAGTTTAACTAATTTGTTACGTTTTAAACCGTTAAAGTGTTTTATTGAAACAGTATGTTGTTTCGGTCGGGCAGGGCACAGAAGTATGATTAACTACTTGCCTGTAAATAAAACCGATTAGTGAAACGGTCACAGAAATGTGTTGTGTGGTTCCCCTCGTGGGGAACCGAGATTTCACTTTTGTCATTTTAGGACATAGACGAAGGTGTAGTATTCGAGCGTCCCAACATATACTGCCACTTCGCGGGAGGTATTGGCGAACCGAAATACATGCCTATTGCATCCTGGACTCAACTAAACAAGTTGCTTACAGAAGCACTATCAAGTTACAACGATCTTATTGCGGCGATGAATCTGGTGTTATTTGAAGATGCAATGATGCATATTTGTCGGTACGATAATCAAATTGCGTGAAAATAATTAAATTTAAGTAAAGAGACTGCATTTATGGCTCAGCGGGTTTGAATCCTGGAAAATACAATAGTAGATCACCTTACTCTGATCCTACTTGCAAATAAAAGCAAACAGGGAAAAAAAACGGCTGTGACGGCCGCATTGACCACATAGGGATTAAATATAAATATTATGATCATACACGAGACACGATAGCTCAATGGGTTCGAGTTCCGCCCATACCGTATTTTTATCCATCTGAAATAAATTTTATATGAAATAATAGAACTGTAAAATAATTTTTTAATATAATATTACTCATCTCATAATTGACTGGTTTCTACTGCTTAAATAAAATCTAAATTATATTATAGTTAAATAGAATAAAGTAAATCAATCGTAGGTAATTGTTTTATCAATGAGTTATTAATTGTTTATTTACAGCGGGTAAACACTAAATATTTACTTAGTATCTCACCGATTTATTTCTAACTAAGCTTTAAGCTTTAAACTTTCTTGGTGATTTTTTTTTCAGAATAAGTCGCATACTAGAGAGTCCCAGAGGAAGTGCATTATTAGTGGGTGTGGGTGGTTCCGGAAAACAATCTCTGTCTCGTCTAGCGGCGTTTATCGCCAGTTTAGAAGTTTTCCAAATTCAATTGAAGAAAGGATATGGAGTATCTGATTTGAAGGTATTTCTTTAAAATAATTGAAGCCTAACGTCTGGATAAAACATTTTGGAAGATTTAACTTTGTTGGACTTCGGCCAAACAATTTCAAGACAACGATGAAGATTACAATTACACATGACAATTAAATATACACAGAATACTACAGAAATAAACTAATATATCAACACAAACTTTTGGGTAAATACAGCCTTTACCTTATAATTACAGCATGAATTGTCCGGCCTATATATAAAGACGGGTCTGAAAAACGTAGGCATAATGTTTCTAATGACTGACGCACAAGTGGCAAATGAACAGTTCCTGGTTCTTATCAACGACCTGCTGGCTTCTGGGGAAGTTGGAGATCTATTTCCCGATGACGATATAGAGAATATAATAGCTGGAGTTAGGAATGAGGTAAATCTATTCTTTATAAATATTGTCTAATAGAAAAGTTTTGTGTTGGTGCTGCGGCTTTTGCACAAATAAAGATATCAAAATATACCCGATTGTAAATGCAAACTATTAACTTCAATGGAACGAATGGTTTTTGTAATCAATAAAAAAAATGGTAAAAGATTTAATTACATGCGTATGTGAGAATTTTTAGCTAGTATTTATTATTGCAGGTGAAAGGAGCAGGTTTGCCAGATACCAGAGAAATCTGCTGGAAATTTTTCATCGATAGAGTGAGAAAGCAATTAAAAGTGGTCCTGTGTTTCTCCCCTGTCGGATCCACGTTACGAGTTAGATCAAGAAAGTTCCCAGCCCTGATCAATTGCACCTCCATCAATTGGTTCCATGAATGGCCGCAAGAGGCGCTAGTATCTGTGTCTATGCGCTTTTTGGAAGAGTTACATGTTTTGCCTGTGAGTGTAACATGAGTATTTTTTTCACTTTACTTGATTTTTCCTGTAAAACCAACTTGTGACTAATTTTTTATAAATTTTTCTTATGTGAGTCATTGTAAAAATAATCATTACTTTTTCATTCAACAAATAACATTTTATTTCAATTAATATGATAACAACTAAACCGTCGATTCTTATAATTATAGATAGCGTTACGTGATTCCGTGTCAAGATTCATGGCGTACGTCCACACATCAGTGAACACGATTTCCAAAGCGTATCTTTCTAATGAGAGGAGATACAACTACACTACACCTAAGAGTTACCTCGAACAAATAAGTTTATATTCTAAATTAGTTAATCAAAAAACTGATGAATTGAGAGCCAAAATAACTAGGTGCGTTTGAAAAGTTCCTTTGAGCTTGTAATATGTAAATACAAATTTTTCTATAGCATTTATACATAATATAAAGAAAAATATGTAAAAATGTCATCTTATTACATATGTAATTTTTCTTCTGAAATCGTTTATTCATTGAAAGTAGTAATAGTAATAGAATATCTAATATTAATTTATTCTCCTTAGATTAGAAAATGGTTTAGAAAAACTACGCGGCACAGCATCTCAAGTAGATGAATTGAAAGCTAAGCTAGCTATACAAGAAGTGGAACTCCAACAGAAAAATGAAGCAGCTGATAAACTTATTGAGATGGTTGGCGTTGAAACTGCTAAAGTGCAGAGCGAAAAAGCGTTAGGTAAGTTAATTTTAATACATTTAAATCTATATTGTTTTTCGTATTAGTAACTTTATTTTATTTCATAAAATTTTAGCTGATGAGGAAGAAGAAAAGGTAGCTGTTATCGCAGAAGAAGTATCCAAAAAGCAAAAGGATTGCGAAGAAGATCTAATTAAAGCCGAACCGGCACTCGTTGCCGCACAGGAAGCTTTGAATACTTTAAACAAGGCAAATCTAACTGAGCTTAAGTCATTTGGGTCGCCACCAGGAGCTGTAACTAATGTCACCGCAGCCGTTATGGTGCTACTAGCACCTGGGGGGAAAATACCCAAGGACAGAAGTTGGAAGTCAGCTAAGGTATTAACATAAGCATAAGAATTATAGAAAATCATTTTTATATAAAGTGTTTCTCTTTTACGGTTTAATTTTTGGTTACAAGTGTTATCATAAATGTATTTTAAATGACAAATAATGTAATTTAACATCTTTGATATTCATAACACTGTTTGTTAGATGATAATGGCTAAGGTCGACGTATTTCTGGAAGCTTTGATACATTACGACAAAGAAAATATTCATCCAGATGTTATAAAGGCTATTCAACCATATCTGAAGGATTCTGAATTTGAGCCGGGTAAGAATGATTTAATCTATACTAATATATAAAGATGAAGAGTTTGTTTGTTTGTAACGTGCACTAATCTGAATAAACTACGGGTTTGAAGAGAAAAAAATCTTTTTGTGTTGGTTAGAGCATTTATCAAAGAAGGCTAAGGCGCTGTGACTAGTACAAGCGACAATACAGCGAGAAATGTGAAAAAAAATTGGGAAAATCATTCGTCATTATGGGTTCCCGAGGCGTACGCTGCAAAAACGGTTCAAGATACCCAAAAAATGTGTATGAATATAAAACAATCTAAAAACAGTCCGCGATGCTATGTGATATATCTTTTAAGATTAACTTGCAAGAACAACGGGAAGGGACGCGGTAGATGAAGGGGTTTGCAAAAACAAATTTGGATGCCCAAAATAACGATTCTTCGGGACAAAGTCGCTGACACAGCTGGTACATTATATACATCATTCATTAATATGTGATCTAAATTTGAGTTCTCTCTTTTATAGAGTTCGTAAGATCCAAATCTGCCGCAGCTGCAGGTTTATGTGCTTGGGTAATAAACATAATAAAATTTTATGAAGTGTTTTGCGATGTAGAACCTAAAAGAAAAGCTTTGGCAGCTGCAAATGCCGAATTAGCAGCAGCTACAGAAAAACTGAAGTCCATAAAATCTAAAGTTGCTGTGAGTAATTTTATTCTTAAAAATACGGTATTATTCAGTTTTATTATTATTAACCAAGTTAAATTTTAGTCGCTTGAAGAACAATTGGCTACGTTAACAGCTGATTTTGAGAAAGCTACAGCTGAAAAAGTAAAATGTCAGCAAGAAGCTGATGCAACAAATCGAACTATACAATTGGCTAATAGACTTGTTAATGGGCTAGCTAGTGAAAACGTCAGATGGGCTGAAGCAGTATTCAAGTCAGTAAAAGATCAATACTTTTATTTACTATTCTGTTTTTTATACTATAATGTTTAATCTTTTTGAATTCTAGCTTTATGCAACAGAGTACTACCTTGCCTGGGGACGTGCTTTTAGTTTGTGCGTTCATTTCATACGTTGGGTGCTTTACTAAGCTTTACAGACTCGATTTGCTTCATAAAAACTGGCTGCCATTTTTGAAAACATTAGAGGTAAGTATGGTTCTTTTCTAAATACTGTTGGAAGTGGGAACAAATAATAAAATTTCATTCATATTTTATAGCCTCCGATTCCTATAACAGAAGGACTCGATCCTCTAACTATGCTGACGGACGATACGACTATTGCGATGTGGCAAAATGAGGGCCTCCCTTCCGACAGAATGAGCACTGAGAATGCTACCATACTATCTAACTCAGATCGATGGCCATTGATGATCGATCCGCAGGTATAAGGATGAAAATATTTAACTGTATATAGGTTCCGAGAACCTCTTCTCGCTCACATCGGCCGAACAGCCCGAAAGACTATGCTGAACGATGGCCGTGAAAGCCTTACACAATTTATATTTAACTGTGTTTTAGTGAGTCATAAGTATAATACATACTATATATTTACAGTTACAAGGAGTTAAATGGATAAAACAGAAATATGGTGACCACTTAAGAGTTATTCGTTTGGGGCAGAAGGGTTACTTAGATACAATAGAAAAGGCTATCAACAAAGGCGAAACTGTTTTATTAGAAAACATTGGAGAAACTGTCGATCCAGTGTTGGATCCACTTTTGGGAAGGAACTTAATCAAGAAAGGAAGGTAAATAAAATATACAATATTATACAATTAGCAAAAAATCTTTTTTTAAATAAATATCTTCTTTATCTCAGAGCTATCAAGATCGGAGACAAAGAAGTAGAATATAGCCCAAAATTCAGACTAATCCTGCATACGAAATTAGCCAATCCCCACTATAAACCAGAAATGCAAGCACAAACGACTTTAGTAAATTTTACTGTAACAAGAGATGGTTTAGAAGATCAACTTTTGGCTGAGGTTGTAAAAGCAGAACGCCCAGACTTAGAGGAGCTTAAAGCTGAGCTAACAAAACAACAGAATGAGTTTAAAATACAGCTCAAGAAATTAGAGGATGACTTACTTTCAAGGTTGTCTTCAGCCGGAGAGAATATACTTGGCGATACTGCTCTAATTGAGAATTTAGAAACGACAAAGAAAACTGCAGCCGACATAGAGAAAAAGGTATATTAACGATAACAACAGTAACCTTTTGGTTATGTCGTTAGGAGAACAATTGTCAAAAATCAACAAGCCACGTCTTTAATTTAATGTTAAGATAATAAGTAAAACTTTATAAATTACAGGTGTCAGAAGCTAAAGTGACATCTCATCAAATAGATCAAGCAAGAGAGTTTTATAGACCTGCGGCGGCGAGAGCTTCTCTTTTATACTTCATCTTAAATGACTTAAACACCATAAATCCTATATATCAGTTTTCTTTAAAGGTATACATCATATTCAAATCCGTACCAGATTTATATTTACTAAATAGTAAGTATTTATAAATTGTTCCCAAAATCATACTTATTTCTAGGCATTCAGTGTTGTTTTTCAAAAAGCAATATCCAAAGCAGAAGAAAGCGAAGAAGTCAGTCAAAGAATTAAAAACCTGATAGATTGTATATCTTACTCCGTCTTTCAATATACTTCGCGTGGACTTTTTGAGTGCGACAAGTTAATCTTTGCGTCTCAAATGACATTTCAGGTACAAATTTAGACAAAAGTGTGTTTTGTTGTAGTACGTAATGTATCTAAGTTCATATTACTAATATCTTTATTAATTCAAGGTTTTGTTGATGAGTGAAGAAATTTCGCCAGCAGATTTAGATTTCTTCCTGAGATTCCCTATCAAACCGCACGTCACAAGCCCCGTAGATTTCCTTTCTAATCAAAGTTGGGGCGGTATTTGTTCACTAGCCAGTAAAGATGAGTTTCGTAATCTTGATAGAGACATTGAGACCTCACCAAAAAGGTGGAAGAAGATAGTGGAAATGGAGTGTCCTGAAAGGGAGAAATTCCCGCAAGTATGTATTTCAGTACAAATTATGAATTTTCTTATAATTTTTACGCTTTTGGTATTAAATTACTAAATAAAACGTTTTCATGCGTTAAAACATTTTTAGGAATGGAAGAACAAAACTGCCTTGCAGAGGTTGTGCATGATTAGAGCCTTAAGACCAGATAGAATGACATACGCCGTTGCGTAAGTAAATAAAATACAACTGCAACACAGTTAAACGATATAACTAAATATAACAATGATATTTATTTCAGAACATACATAGAAGAAAAAATGGGAACGAAATACGTTGAAAACAGGACCGTAGAGTTCAGCAAATCATTTGAAGAAACTAGTCCTAGCACACCTATATTCTTTATCCTGTCTCCTGGAGTGAATCCCCTAAAAGATGTTGAAGCTTTGGGAAAAGCTATGGGTTTTACTTCAGATAATGGAAACTTCCATAATGTATCTTTGGGTCAAGGACAAGAAATTGTAGCTGAACAAGCGATGGATGAAGCGTTTAAGAAAGGACACTGGGTAGTTTTACAGGTTGTTGAAAATATAATCAAAAATAAAATTGTAAGAAATAAACTTTAAGTTATAACGCGATTCATTATTCACTATAGAATATTCATCTAGTTAAGAAATGGCTTCCGAACCTTGAGAAGAAAATGGAGAGTTTTGCTCATGGATGTCACGAAAATTTTAGACTCTTCATGTCCGCTGAACCCGCTGCTACTCCCGCTGCGCACATTATCCCACAAGGCATTTTAGAATCTAGTATAAAGATAACAAACGAGCCTCCTACAGGCATGCAGGTAATCATGACAAAAACAGAATGTAATATTGTGAATATAATTTTAAAATGTATTTAATTAAATGCTATTTATTTTTAGGCAAATCTGCATAAGGCTTTAGATAATTTTAACCAAGAAACTTTAGAAATGTGCGGTAAAGAAGCTGAGTTCAAAGCGATTCTTTTCGCTCTGTGTTATTTCCACGCTGTTGTCGCCGAGAGGCGGAAATTTGGTCCTCAAGGGTGGAATAAAATATATCCTTTCAACGTTGGTCGGTATTTAGAACATTTTGTTGATTCTAGTAACTACAAAAGCCGTTTTACTTATTTTAAATATTCTATATACAGGTGATTTAACAATAAGTGTGTTTGTCTTGTACAATTATTTGGAAGCGAATTCAAAAGTTCCTTGGGAGGATCTGCGATATCTATTTGGAGAAATAATGTATGGAGGACATATAACCGACGACTGGGATCGAAGACTTTGCAATGCTTATTTAGAGGAATTAATGCAACCAGATTTAGTAAGTATAGAGATTAAATAACACTTACGTAGGAATGAGCGATTAACTCTTCGTTCCAGTAAAAATATGATATATATATATTATTAGGTAATAGCAGAGTAAGGTATTTGGTTTTAGGTTGATGGTGAGCTTCAATTGGCACCAGGTTTCCCAGCTCCGCCAAACACGGATTACGCAGGCTACCACCAGTATATAGAAGACGCGATGCCCGCTGAATCTCCTTATCTTTATGGTTTACATCCGAATGCTGAAATCGGTTTCCTGACGACTACTTCGGAGAATTTATTTAGAACTATATTTGAAATGCAACCGAGAGATGCACAAGCTTCTGGAGCTACTACTGTTACGAGGGAAGATAAGGTAGAGAATTTTGATTATTTATTAATTACGATGGAAGAACTCAATTAGTTTGTTATATCGATAACGTACAAAGTAAGTGATGTACTTTACATTAATGCACAGGTAACCACATAACTATTGATGCTCAAAAGTATATAATATATTATTCTAGCTTCTGGTATTAACAGGTAAAACAAATGCTTGACGAAATAGTGGAGAAATTGCCTGAAGAGTTCAACATGGTTGAGATAATGGGAAAAGTGGAAGAAAGGACGCCGTATGTAATTGTAGCGTTCCAGGAATGTGAGAGGATGAATCATTTGACGGGAGAAATGAAACGATCTTTGAGGGAATTGGATTTGGGGCTTAAGGTAAACCTATAAGTATGGTGAAAATTTATGAAGAATTTAATGAATAAAACAAAAAAATTTTATAAAAATATAAAATTTGTAACTTTTGCACTTTATTTAAAAAAAAAAGGTTTATGTTTAATTTAAAAATTGCCACCAAACAAATTGATTTTTGTAAAAACGGTTCTGCGTAGCTTTAATCTTTCTGCTTATTAAATAAATATTGATTGATTGTAGGGAGAACTTACTATAACATCCGATATGGAAGAACTGGAAAATGCACTGTTCTTAGATCAGGTAAAATAATCATCACAATCTTTCTTGTTAACTACCATTTTTACACTTGGACAATGATCTTACAAAAATTCGTCTGTTATCTTTTTATCGTAAACTTATTATATTTGACTGATCATAGGTACCAATAATCTGGGCGAACCGAGCATACCCGTCTCTGCTAGGTTTATCTGCGTGGTTTGTTGACTTGCTGTTGCGGTTACGAGAGTTAGAAACGTGGGCTACAGATTTCGTTGTATGTTTTCAACTTTTCCTGTTATTGATAAAATTGTAGGATTTTTAAGATAGATGAATCTTCAAAAATGTTTGATATGAAAATATAATGCTATCCCTATTTTAATAACTAATATTGTTAAAATGTCTAGCTACCAACATCGGTGTGGCTGGGTGGTTTCTTCAACCCCCAAAGCCTACTAACGGCGATCATGCAAAGCACAGCACGTCGGTACGAGCTGCCGTTAGACAAAATGTGCCTTCAATGTGACGTCACCAAGAAGATGAAAGAAGATTTCACGTTTGTATAATAATACTGAACTAAATTATACACGTATTCACATGCTTCTACCAATTTACATTATATATGGCTTTTGTATACCTACAGTATTGCTGATTCCCGGTCAGCACCTCGGGATGGCGCGTACGTCCACGGTTTGCTTATGGAAGGAGCTCGTTGGGACACTCAAGCCGGGATTATCATGGACTCTCGTTTAAAAGACCTGTTCCCGCCTATGCCTGTTATTAACGTTCGGGTAAGATTAATTGTATTTTGATATAATTGGGACTTTATACGCGAAATTTTAAAAAATTTGTGACGCTTTTCTTTTGTTTTTAAATTATAAAAGATTTTGAAAAACATTAAATTATAATTAATTTATACTTATATATAAAGCTGAAGAGTTTGTTTGTTCGAAGATATCAAAAAAATATGTATCAAAGATTGATTTCTCTTTAAATTATTAAAAAAAGTCCGCGGAACTATATGTCTAACTTTTAAGATTAACTTCCAAGAACGACGGTGCTCGACTGACGTAGTTTATTCGTCGTCGAAGAGAAGGTTTACAAAAACTTGGATGCCAAAAATATCTGATCTATGCGACCGAAATCGCTAACACAGGTAGTTACTACATATAATCCATTTTTATTATTTCTTGCCTTCTTTTCCAATTGGTGATTATTTCCAGGCAATAACGCAAGACAAGCAAGACCTTCGCAACATGTACGAGTGTCCCGTGTACAAGACGCGAACACGCGGCCCAACTTACGTTTGGACTTTCAACTTGAAGACCAAAGACAAGCCATCGAAATGGACCCTTGCTGGTGTAGCTTTGTTATTACAAATATAAACAAAATTTATATAATTGAATCGTGCAATATCAACTTCCGCTAATTCTTCTGCTGCCACTGAAAGTCATTATCAAGTTCCAACACTGCCATTCTGTTATTCATCTCTTAAGCTAAAAGTAATAGCTTCTTTTAAAGCTTCTCTTGTCATTCTTGAACACAAAACATTGTTAACGTGTAATTAGAGTAGTGGTTGTTCTAGTCATGTCGTGTTATTTATTTAAGCTTATGAAGCTATAACCATTGTGATTAAATCACGGTTTTGTTAAAATATTAAATCTTTAGATTCTAGATAGGGTTTACTTTATGGATACCTCAGCCATATTATATTTAAACAGTTTTGGATATTCGGAAATCGCACAGTCTGAAACCGAAGCCTGATTAAACTTGACAGCTTTTTTATCTGTGTACGGTGGGTCCTCGGAAGGAATTTCCAATATTTCTACCACCCATTCAGCATCCAGATTCCCAGACAAAGTACAACATGTAACACAGTGTCTGTAGTTTACGCGAGTAGCATACATTTAAATAAAACACTTCAAAGGTTTAAAACGCGATAAATATTATTTAAACTTATTTGAAAATATTTTTATTATGCGTATCAATTTACCCTTGGATTGGAACCTCTGCTTACGCAACACAATGCAACAAATAAAACACATCGTACATTTTATTCTTATTGTAAATAAATGCTTTCTTTAACTAAAACAATTAAATAAAATTATAAATTTGCGTAGATCGCGAATCTACTGTACATAGCACCCGCCCACTAACAAACAAGCCCTAACGATTAATAGGTACTAATAACGCCCACTGAATCTAAGACGGGAGTAAAACTAATTGCCCGAACATGCTCGGAGTTTTTTTTCAGTCGGAGATTAGACATTAGCAAAAACACAGCCTAATTAGCTTAGATTGAAATCATAGAAACAATGTTGTCTGTGGTTTACGCGATAGTACATAATTAAATTAAACACCTTTGACGGTTTACAACGCGTAATGTATTAGTTAACTTAATCGAAGTACACATGGCCCAAAAGGCGTAAATTGTGTTTTATTTAAATCATAGAAAATGTCAAGTAATTGTTAAAAATATATTCGAAGAGTTAAAGGTTTTTGTTTTACCTTCAAATAGCACAATAATAAGAAACAAGGCCCGTTTTCTTATTTTTTGTCTAGGAACCGAATCCCCGACAATATTGTCGACTACAAATATACAAGTCAACGGGTATTTATAGGTCTCAATGATCTTATCGTACTTGAAACAAAAAAGAAAATATTAAAGGGGCCATAGTAATGGGTTAGACGTAATCCGATTCCCCTCTGAGGGAAAACAGAATTTAACTAAATTCGTGGCATTAATTTAATGTGGCTTTTATTTAATGAGTTTTTTAGGCTTGAGTCATATATATCATTAATTTATGATAGGATGTCTATATGATACTTCGATGACTCACACAGTTTTCACAGCTCATATATTATTGACAACCCGTATAACTTGTAACATGACTTTTTGAATTTTGACCTTATGGATTTCGTCATCTACATAAATTTAATCTTTAATATAAAATAATTAAAAACGAGGTCAGAATGTCTAATTTACATCAAATTGATCATAACTTAAATTTTTGAAATGATTGATCAAATAATTAACCGTATTTTAACAACATTGATCTATTTTAACTTTGGATGTTGGGGCGAAACAAGAAAACAATATCTACAAATAGAAAAAAATGCTTAAGCTAGAGACGCTGTCGTTTGTTTCTAAAACCTGGTTTTCGATTTGAGATTTCTCACTATTAATGCCCCAGCGCTGAGCAAGTCGCGTCTCGCAGAACAAAGGGTTCTAAGACCTTTCATCTACTGGTACTCTTTTGTGGGTTGAAGGAGTTTAACGAATACTAACTACTACTAAAAATATCACTCTTATTTCGATACCCGACCGATTCGAACAGGAGCCTGATCGGCAGTCATTAACCACAAAACAGTTCAATTACTTAAATATTATCAATCCACAATAACATATCAATTTAGTTATCACACAATGTGCAAGTTCCCATTATATTGTTTGGTTTAAGCTCCTGTATTTGCAGAGTATAGACTTAAGGCACATGAATTTTAAAAAGATTTTTTTTCTTCGCCTTGACACAGTGACTTAACGGTGTAGGTTTGTTTGTTAATCACATCTACACACGTGATTAATTAGGAAGCATGCATAATAAGACAAATTAAGGTTGGTATAATAATTAAAAGTATACTTTTAAAAATGACATAAACTATAATTAAGTCTTACTGAGTGGGTAATTTTTTTTTTAAAAATATTTACTTATATCTATTTTATTCAAGATGCACACATTTCAATAAAACAATTTTAACGCTCTAAAATGCGATATATATTAGTTAACTACTAATAGTACGGTAAGTCCTACGTTTCGGATATTTTAGAGCAGCTGTCTAATAAGTTAACTAAAATATCATGTTTTAAACCGTCAGAAGTAAACCGTTAACGTATTTAAAAAGTAACAAAGCGAAAGATGTAACAATGCGACAAATATCTTTCTAATCTAAAGTTTGTGCAAAAAGTATTTTAGTAAATATATTACAGTCCACATTATGTATTTTTAATTTCTTAAAAGTGTCGATATTGAAAAGGATATCAGTGACATCTAGGCGTTGAAATAATCGTAATAATATCATAAAAATAATAATATTAGTCAGTTGAAAGAAGAAACGAACATTTTACATATAGTAACTATGGAGGGAATAGCTTTGTTTAAACGTAAAAAATATACAAAATTATGTCTCAAAATTTGTTATCAACGTATAATAATTATTGATTTATACCGACAGCAACTTATAAATAACTACTAAAGTATATTTAAGTAGTTAAGTTTTCTTGAGTCGTGCCAATTTGAAGGCTAAGTTAAACGCAGTTTTTGAATGCTCGATCATCTATTTATTTCCTTATTTTTTGCTTGTAAACCCGTTGATACGACTTAAAAGATTTTTTATTGTTATGTCCCTAATTCGATAAGGCAACATTATTTAGTAGTATTTATGATAGAAAAGGACAGATAAGTACGAGGTTTACTTGATGTATGGTGAAATATCCTAGCTATGTAACATTTCAACTAAATGCGCTGTCAGCCTATTTTGACTATGTATATTTGGAAATCCACACACTGTAACTGAAACGCGATTAAACTTAACGGCTTCTTCATCTGTGGACGGAGGTTCGTGACTCGGACGGATTCAATATTCCCACTACTAACGAAGACCAACATGTTTCAGAAAGATTATAATTTAATTATCGACCCACAACCCGTTAATTGTTATCCATACATTCTCACTATTAGACCAACGAGTCCGACCTACTAGTAAAATTTCCCGCCAAAATTTATAATATAAGCACCGATACAAAATATGCCCGCCAAAATGTGCATAGTAAAAAAAAACATATATCTACTAAATACTGAACGACAGGACGTGAATTCTAAAGCATAATAAACTTGATAGATTATTGGTTAAAACAGCCTTAGTTGGTTAAAGAATTAAGTTTGCGTACAACGAGAATTTTGTGCTGGAAAGAAAAAAACTGTGCGACATTAAAACAACCACGCCTTTTTATTGTATTTTTAGTTCGCAATTCACGACAATCTCATAAGTTTTTATTTTATACGTATATAACAAAAAATATACTCGACTGTCATATTGCATTCGCAACAATACATAAACAAAATGTAGGAAATATTTGTTTCATGTATTATTAACTTTGTTTTAGATCTAATAAAATTCAACAAATATAAACGTTACCTAATCACGGGCCTTGTAAACCCCGCCTTTCAACATAATACGTATTTAAAAAATACAGAAATATGCCCTTAGAACAATTAAATAAAATTAAGAGCTTTTCAATTTTATTACATTATTATCAATTCTTTATTTTCTTTAATCACCTATTCTGAGAGCCCGTCATCAGTTCATGTAATAATTTGCCCGACTTAATAAGTCTCTGCATTTCTTCCTTAGAGCTTCAAAAATCGAAACTAACTTGTAAATAAATATTATTCCCACAAATTCAAGTAATTATATTCATGTTTATGCTCGCACATCGGGGTATCGTCTGAGTTAATACTCATTTGACTAATTGCCTAGCCCGAATCAATTTTAAAATGCCATATAAATATTACGAGTAACTCCGTAGACCTAAGTTAGTCGGAAAATTGAGTATATTCAAGGCTGGTTTCCCTTATACGATATAAAAATTTGGTTCAACGTTTTACCAACAGAAATCCTTCAATATGCGGGATGTATTTATCAATTTTAAACTCTTTTGGGTGGGTATAAGATTGTAATTCGAGTAATGACTTTATAACAGGTTTTACTAGTTAGCACTAAGGCTAATTAGATGAAATTGGTGCGATTAATTTAGATATCTGTTCCTTAATTGGAAGTATAAGGTATAGTTAGTTTTAATTATTTGAATCAAGTACCTATTATCTTTGTATGTTTCTAAAACTAAGTATGATTATTTTTTAAAAATTGGTATTTCATACTTTCAAGTGTTAAATATTTTTCCTGGCTATTGGGTTAAGTGCCAATGTGATGTAATACCAATTTTTTAAGTATTTTAATAACAAAATAAATAGAAAAAAAATAATTGAATATATCATTACGAGCTGAGAAGAATTATAATTTAAAAATCGAAAATAAATTCAAAAAAATTTTCGACTCAGGCAGGAATCGAACCGGCATCGTCAGCGTTCCGTGCTATTGCTCTACCAATTGATCTACTAAGTTACGATGCCGGTTCAAGTCCTGCCCGAGTCGAAAATATTATCTTCAATATTCAATGAAAATTATATAGTGCCTTCATGTGCAATACGATGTGAAAAATGTTAAAGTTTTCAAAAGAATTATAATTCTTCGAGAAATCGAGGAGCTTACAACATCTCCTGATGATGCCGTCCACACGTGATGGCGAAACGTCGAGAACCTCTTG